CTCTGCCTCTAAATAGAATCCCTGGGCAAAAAGGTAACAAAGAATGGCGTGCTTTCGCGCCTTGCACATGTGCGCAGGCTGGCGCCACTCAGTCTGGTCCTGGGCAGCTTGCAACAGCCCGGGACCATTGCAACATCCCGAGCCTGCCTTTGCAGGCTCAGGACACAACAAATACCAATGGTCTGATCCAGAGAAGGCCAAAGCAAAATCATAGCTGGTTAACAGAAGAGAGGAGAAATTGCAATCAGTGGGTCACAACTTGGGGGGGGGGAATGGGCAGGAAAAGAAGATTTAGCAGATTAAGCTGTACTCTCAGGCAAAGGGCTACAGGTTCCCTCTATTTGTTCCCCTAAGACTGGTGATTTCCTTGCCTGTCCACAAAACTCCCTGTTCGAGGGCAACATCTGTCAGGTTTGATCCTGCTTTCAATCACAACAGAAAGAACTAAGCCAGCTAAGAAACTTTTCAATTAATAGGCATCCCTGCACCATTTTAAACTGCCATGGGCACAAAAATAAAAATAACCTGTTTAAATAATGAGGTTTAGAGATCTGAACTCATCAGATCTTACTCACTGAACTATGTGAGGTTTCATGTGAGAATGTAGAGTTTTAAACACTGAGAATTAGTCAGCACTATCTGTCATGGGGGGGGGGGGAGTGAGGTCACTTTGTTGGGTCCTCATCTCAGTTTCTAGGCACCCTATTAGAAACCATCCTAGATCATTCTCCAATGTTTCTTTGACAGAAAAGTCTTTGCTGAGTTCTCCTCCACTGGCTCCCTAGAGCAAAAGCCCTGTGCCAAGGAGACCCCTCTGCTGCCCAGGGCAGAGATGGCCCAAACCCTTGCAAAGAGCTGCTGGGACAGAGATTGGAAATGGGCCATCATGGAAAGCAACAAATCAAATAAATCCAGACAATCCTTCAGAATTTCCAAACTCACTAGATTTTGTGTACTTTTTGCCTAAGAAGAACCAACCATGGTCAGTGGAGGAAGTTCTTAATGGCACACAGGCAGAACCAGATGGCAACTGCACTGCTGCTTGCTGCTTGCCTGTCAGCTCTTCACTGGAATGTCCCACCTAAACATCGCGTTGTATTATTCTATGAATTTGAACCACCATTTCTCTGTAGACCCATTCTCTGTCCTACTCCATCCCTTGCTGCAACTAGGCCTAAGAATAAATAGTAAGCACATACGTACTATTACTACACCCCTTTCTCCCTGCCCACTTTGCAAGTTTCTACCACTTGTAGCGTTTCAATTCTTTGGCTCCTGGGCACATGGCAGGACTGTGCTCTGGCTTTGCCAAGCCTCTAAACACTCCTGATGACAAATGAACGCTGCTGTCATTGTGTGATCATAATTTCAAACAGACTTTCCAGTCTTGGGGTAGTTCCCTTTGTTATCTATCCATCTCCTGTCACCTCCTCAGGCCATCCTGGGGGGGGGGGGCAGAAATGACCTCATAAAAACATCTTTCAGTTTGATGACACATGGCGATGGAGAAAATCCAAAAACCTTCCTAACCAGAATTTAAAGACAACAACTTCATTCAAAGCAAACATTCTAAAGTGCACACCAGGCAGGGTTGCTTGGAGAGAGCTGCAAGAAAGAGAAAACCACTCCTTGACGGCCTTTTGCCTTTGCACAGAAGCCTTGGCATTTAGCCTTTCTGCAAGGGGCTGATTCCAAGTGGAGAGGACCCCCTTTCCAGAAGGTCTCTTGTACCTTGCAATTAACAGAGGAAGAGTTTTTCAACCAAACATTGCAAATTCATTTGTACATCTTCCCAAAATGTACTACCCTTCAGTTTATTCCATCCCAGGTTTGTTCAGATCAGAGAAACTTCCTCCAACTAGGGCAGAAGCCTGGAAATGTGACAGACAGTGCTTGTTCAATGGCACACTATTCCAGGTTTGGAATCTAGGCATGCAATCTGACTCTTAACACACACAAACCCATATCTCTTGCCTTGCGGGACTTTAAAAATTCCATCCTGAAGGATGCATCCTACAGTATGATGCCCTTTTGTCATTGAGCTCCCCATGGACTCAGAGGGATTACTGTCAGCCCCACCAGCCAGGTATGAACCTAACCTTATCCCAAGTTACAAATGGAGTCTCTTCCTGCTTTAGGACAGCCACATGAAACTTCTCTACTGGAACTGGAGCCAGTTTAGTCTATGGTGAAGATGCTGGCCTACAGACCAGGAGAGGGTCCCACCTTAGGTATGCTAGTCAATGTGGGGAAAAACGCACATGCAGCAAACTGCTGTGCTTCCCCCCCCAAAAAAAAACCTCATAACTTTTTGATACCCTTTGTTCCAGTAAAGCAGCCAGAAGGTCATACCCTTTTGACTTAATGCCTCACCTACCGAAACAAATAATATGCTTAGTTCCTTCCTATCTTTTCCTGTCTTTGTTAGTTCCTTCTCCTTTCATCTCCCTGTATTTGTTCTTTACCTGGTCTTTGACCATGTAATATGTTACTAGGAAATAGTTGCTTATATGAAGGAATTTTCCAATGAAGAAACTTTATGTCAGCATCTAACGGTTAAGCTTGTGTACGTAACAAGAATATAAAAAACAATAAACTCACAATTTGTCAAGCTGTGTCCTTCAGCTTCAAATCTCTGCTCAAGACATGCCTGTGTCTTTTTCTTAGCGTCTTACATCTGGCCCCTGAACAGGGACAGCCCCCCCCCCATGGAGCAACAGCCAACATACTTACCAGCATCTGGAACAGACCCCTAAGTGCACTTTCGTCCTATGGGACCCGTCAGTGGTAAGTATGGGTTGCAAATCTATCTCAGCACTAGCAGAAACATGTACAGGAACTCAGATTCCTGTTACATAAATCAGGCGTGACAGCAGCTTCAAACCTCTGCTCAAGACATGCCTGTGTCTTTTTCTTAGCGTCTTACAAGCCAGCAAGGTGACTTTGGGTCAGTCCCTCTCTCTCAGCCCAGCCCACCTCACAGGGTTGTTGTTGAGGGGAAAATAGGAGGAACAAGGAGCATTATGTATGCTTGCTGCCTTGAGTTACTTATAAAGTAACTTATAAAGCCAGGATAAAAATCAAATCAATCAGTCCATAAAAAACTATGCTCCAGGGCACAGTCAGTTTCTAGAGGAAGTACTGTAGATGGGGCTAGATAGAGTGAGGAACTGGGGCCAAGATGGGAAGAGGCCTGCAGCATTTATCTAAAAGCTTCAGCCCCACTGTGAAACTTGCTGGGCCAGAGCTTCCAGACAGAAATCATGATGAGACATGGGAGTGCTGTGCAGAAACATGTGGGCCTGGGGAAGGTGCTTTTGTGGATGTGGTGTAAGCGCAGACTTCTCATTTTGTGAGGAGTTGGGACTGAGAGTGGGCAAGCTCCTCTATAGCTCCAGCCAGCCCCCTCCAGAGCACATGGCTAGAGAGGCAGCCATTCTCTTGCAGTTTTTCTTGAAATGTGTTATCAGCAAAGCTTTGCAAGATGCAGAGGGTGAGACCCTTGGCATGGAGGAAGCAGCCATTACACAGAGGCAGCATCTTTAAAGCCAGCAAGGGGGGTGGGGATGGGGGGAAGCAGAGGATTGACTGGAGTGATACTTTATTGATATAGGCTAGAGGAGCAGACCTTGAGAGCTGGGCTGTCCCTCCTTCTTATAACCCCCCTCCAGTGAATTAATCTGAGCTGATTTCTCTGTTTCCCAAACTTAATGGATGCTTTTGTTTCTGTCTGTTTATGCATGGTTTGTCCAAGGTCATTTCTGTGGTTCTCTATTGGTTGTTCAGTTTACAGTGCAGTTATCAGCAGTGAATTCCCCAAATCGAAATGGTCAGAAAGTAGGCGGATTCCTGGGGCAATCTGCTCTCTGATGTCACAAGGAGGAACTACTAACATGGCACTTCCTAACCAGCCAAATGGATCACTTCGCACCCATGGCAGCCTTGGAGGTTATCAATCCTTGGCTGCTCATACTTTGGACATGAGTATCCAAAGTCCCCACTCAGCTCACCTTTGGGCACCCACCCTTCAGCACCTTCACCTGCCCTTCATACAGATTCCGCCAGAGAAATGGAGGTGGCTGTCAGTCACAGGGGCAAGGTGGGCCTGTGGCAAAGTATAAACCTCCAACTGAAAGCGGCCTCTACCCATCTGGCTGCCATCAAGTGATTTCTCTGGAGGGGAACAGATGAGCCCATGTAAGTATTTTAAATTATCTAATTTTAATCATGGTTTCTTTTCTATTCCCTGTCCACAACCCTGACCACAACCCCAGCCCAAAATACTCTAAGCAGCACCAATAGACCATGCAAACATTTCATGGCCGATTGCAATAAACTCTTTTAAGACCCTCAGGCAGGCTGTCAATCCTATATTCACTTTAAAGGTAGAGGTCAGCATCAAAGCAGGGCTTGGGAAAATAAGAGGCCTCACCCCCCCCCCCATACTCCAGGTAATCAACCACTTCCCACAGAAGTTTCCAGGTGGTCTCTCACAGGTGGTACTGGAGGACTTAACAGATATTTGCACCCATTAAACATATTTTTAAATAAGAAGCTAGCTGCATTGATACATAATAATACATATCAAGATTTCTAAATCATGATTTATTGCCTACTGTATCATATTAAGTCATAATCGCACATCACTTCACCCTCAAAACAAAGAACATACTCTGTAGCCTCAAGGAAATGTGTGAATTTATCGCCCATCATGGAGCTGGTCACAAACTAAGAGTTTAATCTTCCCTGCCCTAAAGCATAATTGTATTGTATTTAAATTGATTCACTCTAATTAGGTGAGTGGGACAAAACATGCCAAATCTCTGACAGTAACTCAGATCACGAGGCACAGCTTATAACAACATTAGTCGTGGATTCTACAGCAGAATTCAGCATAGTTTCTATTCCAACTGAAAAAAAGGACTCTTACAATTCAACATTTCTTTCTTTCTTTCTTTCGATTTATTGCTGATTGTAAGCAAAATGTAAATCGACCCTACCTCCAGCAAGGATCTTTTCCTGCAGCTCACTCATCTGCTTCTTGTATGCCCTCAGAACAGCTTCTTTAAAAGATGGGGTGCCTTTTTTTTTTATGGGCACTTTAGCAGGGATTGCTGGAATATTCTTATTTCCCTCTTCACATACATCTAGTTCATCTCCAGCCAATGTATCTTCCCTGGCAACTTCCCACATGTGCTGATTGGCCACCTGGTTCTCCAAATTGCCACTAGGAAAATCTTCTGGTGCAACAGCTGCCGCCTCCACTTCCCCTCCCTGTGTCTCTTTTTCCAACTCAGTTGCGCTCGTCCTGCTCTCCAGTTTAGCAAGGACTTGCTCCATAACTTCCACATAATCTGTTTCAAGCTCGCCCATGGATTCACTGGGATCTTCCCCATCTTCAGCTCGATAATAGGAGGCCTCTGTGTAAATGTCAGAATCCAAGGTGATGCTTGATTCATTAGCAGTGGATTGAGACAGTGTGTGAAACCTTCCCATAAAATATGACCCGCTGTCCTCACAGCCACTTAAACTTTGGGTGCTCTTATTCCATACCACTTCCAAAGCTGATCTTGCCCGTTGCAGGGTACTTCCGAATTTGGGAAAGAGGAGGGTTTTGTCTGAAAGGTCAATGCTCAGCCGGCTGTGCCAAGACTTGGGAGGTCCTTCCTCAGCATCCGTGCTGGGCAACTCGCTTTGGCTTCGATACATCACAGGCTTCCTGGTTTGGGTGGGAAAGAGGGTGTTGGCTTTAGCCTCCTGCTGCCCAGTGAACTGGCTGGACCACTGCATTTCAGTAGTGGGTCCTCCCCCAGAGAGGCAGTAACTGTCTAGGGCATAATCATAATTTTCTGCCTCATACCGGGCATCCGAGAACTGGCCGAGATTTACTTGTCGGTCGGAAAAATCGTTTAAGTTATAACCCAAATGTTGGTAGCTTGAGGAATTTATTTCCATGTCTCTATTCTGGTCTAGCCGATTCCAGTCCTTCCATGGCGAAAGTTCATCTTCTAAGGATATCTGAGAGTTACTATAATGGCTCCGGTCGCCTGAGGCACATGCCATCCCATTGCTGACCCCACTGTCAATGGTTTCTGTATTCTCCATTTCACTCTCAAGTCTATGAGAGGGGCCTTCTGGATTAAACCCCTGTTCCTGATCACCACTCCACTCAGCGGGGTCACCCTGTGTTCTCTGCCAGAGTTCCCGGTCAGAAAAGGATAAAAGCGAGCTCCCATTTGTTTTGATGAAGTGCTGGTTCTCTGAAAAATCTTCAGAAAAAGACTGGCAAAGTTTAGAAAAATCAGACTCTGAACGACTGAGTTTTAGTGCTGCCAAATCATCCTGTGACGGCCACAGAGAGGTCATGGCAGCTCTGATCTCCTTCGGTGGGCTGCCTTGACCAGGGAAAGTCTTGTCATCTGGAGCCCTTTTAGGAGCATCTCCCTTGCCTTTAGCAGAATTTCTTTTCATTTGTGGAGCAGATTTGGATATCTTCACATATCTGTTCCGACTGATGTCAGATTCCAGTTCTTTGCCATGGTTATCACGGAACTCCCAGTCCTGCTCTCTGGCTCTGAGATCCATGGTGAGGCACTTCAGGTCCATGCTCTCATACGTCTGAGACGAAGGGAGGCTCCTCTGCTTCCGCTCTCTTGAATCTCGAGGGAGAATTTCAGCTGAAACCCCAATCCCTGTCCCCTTAAGCTTGTAAGACTTTTTCAGAACCAGGTCTCTGTGCTGGGATGTTTCAAAATAAACAAGGATGGCCCGTGGCTTGGCATTAGGACAGTCTCTCTGTTGTCCCAGTCGCTGTGCAAATTCTATTTTGACAGAATTTTGAGCCTCTGAAAATCCCATTTTCTCTATTAATATTCTGTGCACTACATGTTCAACATTCTCAAACTTCTCCTCTGGAACGTTTAAAAATCTAAGACTAGTTTTGCTCCCTGCATGTCCAAGTTGTTTGATATAATCATATATATCACGTGTCTCCCTTCGTGATTGTACAAATCCGGTCCTCAGCTGTTCAATTTCATTCTGCACGACTTCCACATTGCTGGAGATCTCATCAATGGACTCTCTGAGGGCATTGACGTGTCCCCGCAATTCAGAGAGCTCCGTTTCTATCTGACTGATCCCCTGAAGCTCCTTGAATATCATTTCCATCACATCATGGGTCTGACTGATGCAACCGGTGGAACTGAAGCTTGCTTCCAAGGTGCTGGATTTTGGCGGGCGAGCAGTTCTGTCCAAAGACTTGCTCCTCAGGCCCCAGGTTTTCTTCCACGTGCTGAGCTCAGAGTCTGAGGAGACGTACTCTTGACTCTTCTTCCATTTCCTCAACTTCCGTAAAGCACCAAGCTTGAGGTTGTGCAGTGTGCGGTCCCCTTCGGAACTGCCATCTGAAGGGGCGAGGCTACTCACACTCTTCCTGTTGCGTCTCATAGGCATTGTGTGCAATGAATATTCTTTTCTCCCGTTTTGGTCTTTGGTTTCACTTAAAAATTTTGAGAATGAGCTTTCGTTAGAAGATGCATCCTGAAAGGAATCTTCATTCTTATGTGAGAAAACTCTCTGTTGCAATCCATTCACAATGGCTGCCCGATAGCTGAAAGTTGGAGACAGAGAAAATTCGTGGTTGCTTCTCTCCTCTTCTGCTGACCAATTGCGAGCAGAGGTACGTTTAGCTATTTTTTTTACTGTGCTTTTTAAACTAATTGAGAATAGTTTTACTTGTCCAGCTTGGGAAATATTTAGTTCCTTTTTGCTTTGATAGCTCTCTTGTTTGCTCTTTGTATTGTTTTCCAACTTCTTTGTAAACATTCCTTTATAAATCCTGGGTATGTAAAAAAGGTTTTGGTTCTGGAGGAGAGCAGAAACCATGGAAGGCAAGCTTAGTTATCCTTCCCCACAAATACTGCAGTTCCTTCTTGACAAAAGCATTTGTGTGCTTCCAACGATCCAGGACAATAGACACTGGTAAGTGTTAACTGTGGTTGGCAAGTCAAAAGGCAGGAACAACTTCAGGAAGGAGCCCACAGATCTGAACAACCCTGCTTCTATTTTCCGTTGCTCTCTGAGGCATCTAAAAAGCAAAGAAGACTATTAATAGGACTTCCAAATCAAATTCATCATGTTACACATCTCAAAAATACTGAGCACTTCCTCTCTATAGAGAGACTGCCTGGCTAGTAATTCTTCTGAACACACATAGGCAGGTTTGCATTTTATACTTTTTTTTTTAAATGGCATCATTCAGAAATCAGGAGAACATTACACATATTCAGAGAGTACCCAGATCTGATTATGGCTTTGTCTTTACATCCACCTATTCTGTCTTAGCATTGCTAAAACAAGTGCAACACAAGAAAATTTCCTATAGCAACCCTCTAACTGGTACAATGCAAAAGATTGTTATGCAATATGTATTTGCAGAGATAATTTGAAAGAAAAGCTCTAGATGTCAAGGAAAAAGAAAAAGAAAAATTCAGGAAAGAGCAGAAGGAATTTGTTCTCAACGCTTCTACTTAAGAAGAAGAAAAGTTTGGGAGGGGGGAGGCGGGAAAAGAGTAAAAAAAAAACCCTGCAATTTTCTTGAAATAATGGTGAATATAAAACAATCAAGCAGGATATAAATAATTAAAAGTTTTTTACAGTATCGAACACCACAATTTTCTCCATACATAGGGTTAATATATAAAATAACAGAAGTGTGTCTTAATTCAAACACTTAATTCAGACTTCTTAGAATCAGAAATCTATCAAGATACTAAAATGAACTGCTAATTATAGCTATAACTCAGAGAACAAAATTAAATAAACAAGGCAATTTTTGTGAAATAAGTGTTTACTTTCCATTCTATAAATATGAGGAGCATAAGAGCACAATATTTTATTATTACATCAATTACATCTAATTTCCATTTTATTTTTGCCAATATGGCAAATCAACTGTATAAAGAGATGTTGGTTTCTTAGAGTTCCTCAGATTATAGTTCCATTTGTAAAATCTTAAAACACATTTAAACTAAGTTAGTTCAAAATTAATTATGTTCAAATTCTCCCAGTATATTCCATAGTCTGGAACTTCTCTCCATCCTGCAGAAAGAGAGCTCTCTGACAGTGGGGGCTCAGAAGTACAGAATCCTAGGTCCCTAGAGGTCATCTAGTCCAACCTGTGGCCAAGTGCAAGGCTGCACTATTACAGCATCTTCAAAATATCTTCTGCAGATCTTAACACCAGGACAGTAAACAGGGTTGTTCTTTGAGCACAGCTGTTGTATAAAGTTTGTACCCTGTGCTGCTTATCCAGATTCGATTTTAAAGGGCTTTTCAACCCACAAAGCATGTTGTGATCAGACAGGATGGCCAAGTTCACTTCAATCCTTGCAGGGCGCTTGTGAATTTTAAACATGCTGAAATGCAAAATAAAAAAAAGAACCAAACTGGGCTTTTGAGGTCAGCAAACACATGAAAAGGCTGCTGAAAGACAGTTTGTGGTCACATGTCCATTTTCATTAATGCTGCTCAGAAGCAAGAGACTACTAAGCCTCCCTTGGGAGATCCCAAGTCCAAGGGAGTCCAAGGCAGCACCAGAGGACAGCAAGACATCCTGAAGCCACATCCTTTCCGGATTTGAAGAACGTTCATGGAACCTCAAGCATTCACACCTGGCAACCCAAAGCACCTTGCCTGCTGCTCTGCCAAGGTAGAGAAAGAAAGAGGAACTCCAACGAAGGGAGATTGGCTGGACACCAGCAGCTGCATCATAGGAGTTGCTACATCTGCCTCCAGCAGCTGCATCATAGGAGTTGCTACATCTGCCTGCTTTGCAGTATGCCTGGCCTCAACAATATTTCCTAGACAAAGTGCTGTGCTCCATTGTGTGTGGCCTTGTGTCCTTCTCTGGATGCTAAGGGCCAGGACAAGAGAAAATATCTTTGGGGAGGGCAAGGGAGAGACTCCCTCTGAGGGCTGCAGCTCTGGGCAGCAGGGAAAGGAGCCCAGCATGGTGTACAAAGTAAATATTGCAGCAAATCCGTGAGGAAACGCTTCACGCTGGAATGCCTTCCTATTGCATTAATTCTGCCTGGGTTTTGCAGGCTGGACTCTAACCACCAAAAGGAACAGAGCGAAACATTTCTTCCCTCTTCTCGGCGATCGGCTGCACTTCGTTCCAGCTCTCAAACGAATCTGAACCTGGGACTCCCAGGCCGCTTCAGCCCCACCGCTCCCCGCATTTGGCGCAGGGGAGACGGCCTCTGGGAAGAGCTGCTCGCTCGCGGAAAAGCAGCCCCGCCGACCTCCCGGCTCTGGCTTCCTTCCTGCGGCGGGGCCAGAGCCGCGGCTCCGAAATCCCTGCCTCGGCCGCAAAGGGGCTCTGTCCACTTCAGGAGCAGCGCCAGCAACACTCCGAGGAGCCGGGCGGCTCCGTGGACCGCCTGGGGGCGACCATCCCCGCCGCTCTGGTCCCGCTCTCAGAGCTCCCGTGGGGCGGGGCGAGGCGCCAGCGATGCCCCGAGGGAGGCAGGGAGCTCCGAAGGTGGAGCCGGCCCCACAGGGCCGGTCGCCCGCCCCCCCCTCTCTCTCTCGCCCGCTCGCCGCCCTCCCTCAGCCTCCCGGGATCTCCAGAGAGATGCCGAGCGCGCCCAAGCCTCGAGTACGGGGCGGGGTCGCTGGCACCGAGGGGCCTCCTTGCTCGGCCCGCAGGCACTGGTCTCCCGCCCACCGCCCCCGAAGAGGTTCCGCGTCTCGCCAGCTACCCGGAGCGCCCGCGGAGCCAAGCCCGGGCGAGGCCAGCGGCCAGCATAAACCGCGGCGCCTCTCAGCTGTGAGGAGGCAGCTGCCAGGTCTGCTTCGCCACCGGCAGGCAGCACCTGTGCCAAGGCAGATCGGGCGCGCGGGAAAGTGGATCTCGCCCGGCCTCCCGCGCGCGCCCCGCGGTAGCCCCACGCGAACTTACCGGGCAAACTTGGGCGGCTGCGAGCCTGCAAACGACGCTCCTCGGCCGGGCTGACACAAGCGGCTGGGCTCGGTTGCGGGCCAAAGCCGCGGCCAGGACAGGCGCCGGCGGTGCCGCCCGTGGGCCCGCAGACCGAGCGACCGAGCGCCGACTCAAGTGCGGCGCCAAAGCTGCCTCTGCCGGCGGGCGGTTCCTCGGCGCGCGCTGAGAGCGCAGCCAGCTGACTCTCGCCGGTGCTGAAGCTGATGCTGATGCTGCTCAGAAGGCTGAGCCCAGCGCGGGCGGAGCGCTTTCCTCCGGCACCGCCTCCGCTCTCCGGGGGCCTCGTCTCCGCCCGCGCCAGGGGAAGCGCGCCCGCAGCTCCTGAGGATAGCGCGGCGGGCTGGGCAGCGTCCGGCCTCGCGGTTCACCTGTGACGATTTTCCTCCGGCGCTCGCGGGAAGGCTTGTCTGAGGCCCTCTGCTTCCAGCGCCGACGGCACTGCACCTCTGCAAAGCGCGGAACACTGTCAGGGCAGCGCCGCTGGCCAGAGAGCTGGAGAGGCGCGGCCACCTGACCGGCCAAGGCTCGCTGAGAAAGAGCTCCTTCCCGCGCGCCAAAGGCTAGACGCGGCGCGGTCCTTGAGGCCTCCTGGCGGCTCGGTCGGGAAGGGGGGCAGAGGCCAAACACGCCCCCATCCCCGCCAGGTTTGCCGCATGTGCACTGGAGCCTCTCCGGCTCTTCCGAGGTGTTGCAGTTAGGTGATGGGGGGGGGGCAGGGATTCAACCGCTTTCCCTCCTTAAGTTACTGCAGGGGCTGCGCGGTGCGGGGGAGCCTGGCGGAGCTGGCGCCTTGGAAAGGAGCCCAACGCTTGGCTGAGAAGCTTTAGGCTAGACTCCAGGAGAGAACCAGACCTCGACAGCCAGTTGTTGCTGGGTTCGCTTTGGGTGCCCAAGGCTCGCTCTGCTGTAGCCAGTTTTGATAGTAGGTGAAACCTTCCCGGGCCCCTCCCCCTCCTAAGAAAAGTGATCTGTTGTGGTGTTTTTGTCACCTGGTGGCCTGGGGAGTGGGAGTGGGTAGCGAGGAAACCAATGCCTGGGCAGTCCACTCAACACATCCCAAACACTGTAAATAAGGACACCCCCATCTCCTTCCAGCCTTGGAGGGCTGCACTCTGAGATGAAGGACACCCTATCTGGTTGCAGAGCTCTCTGGGCACCAAAGGCCTCTCTGGCTTGGCAGGCACTGGCCTTCATGTCTGTTTCCCTGCCCCTGCAAGCAATAGGACTTGAGGGTTCTGCTTCAGAAGAGGACAAAGAAGGACTGGCTCTGTGGGGTGAGAGTAGGTCTTGTGAAGGGGTTTCCTAACATTTCATGTCAAAAGTGTAACCCGCATTTTTGAACAAGGTCACCAATAGGGGAAAGAAATGTGCAGCTCCATTCAAGCAGGATTTGCACTTGTTCTTCTCCCAATGGGGCCTTTTGAGGAGAAGCTCCCCCAATTTGTTTAGGATTCAATCTTTTGAGTTTGGGACCCCTCTAGCTTCCTTGTCTGAAGGCTCTCAGAGGCCCCAGGAAATCTGATATGCTGTCGCTTGCGGATGGCATCGCAGCAACCTGAGTTTTAGGACGTGGCTCCAGAGAACATCTGTTAAAGCCAATTACAAGAATTAAAAAGACCATTGAGGACTAATCCTGCCAACAAACTGTCTGGGGATTTTTATGGATTAGCATATAATAAAATAAGGCGTATTTTCCCTGCTTTCTAACAAAGCGAGTGGGGAAGAAAAATATTTTTTTGCCAGCAACTAACAAGTGCAGAGGACCAAGTAGTTCATCAAGCCCTAGAAAACTTCTCCCCACTCCCAGGTCCTGCATGGGAACTTCCCTAGCTGGGCACCTGTCCTTCGGGATCCACATGCATCTGACTTGGGTGACTCTGCATCTGCACCAGCTGATCACTTGTAAGGGCTTTGGAGAGAAAACAATGGCTTTGAAGCAGAGCAAAACAGCTTCCTACACTACTAGTAAGAGGTGCATTTGCAATGGGAAGGGGTGGAGGAGGACATAACCCAGTCCTGCATTTAAGAAGAGGCTGGGGATGCTGGTGCTGGGGATGGTGAGTGTCCTGAAGATGGAGCAAGCAGAGGTAGAGTTTTGTCTCAGGTCTGGGACCAGAGTAGTCACAGCTCGGTCTTGAGGAGTTTGTGAATGCCACCTGAGCCCCTTTCTGCAATCTTTGGAACATCTTCATGGAACACTGGATTTGTATCAGTGGACTGGAAAAGGGAAATGCTTTCCCTCTCTACAAAGAGTGGGGAAAGAACTAAGACACTCACAAAATTCTGGAACAAATGATGAAACAGTTCTGTGAGCATTTAGAAAATAATATACTGCTTGTCAGGAGCCAGCATAGATTTATCGAGAATAAATTGTGCCCAAACAACCTGATCTTATTTTTTGATAGGGACCAATTTAGTTGTCAGCAGGAATGTGATGGATATTGTGACTTCAGCAAAGCAGTGGACAAGGTATATGACAAAATGGGGCTTGAATTTTGCTGCTGTTAGATGGATATGGCTGGTGGAAGAATTGTAGCCAGCAAGTGTATGTCCAGGCTGGAGGGAAATGTTCATTAGCAGACTGCAGTGCTCTGCTCTAGGCCCTGTGCTGTTCAATATATTTGCAGATTACTTGGATGAGGGTTAGGAAATATAATTATAAAATGTGTAAGCAATACAAAGGTGGGCCAATAGAAAATAGCTTGAAGGGCAGTATCAAGATTCAGGAGGATCTTGGCAAGCAGGAACTTTGGGCAAAATTCAGCTAGACAAATTTCAAAAGAAACATATACCAAACTTTTGAGTAAAGAAATATGGTAAGAATATGGGATGGAGAAGGATCTTAGATCAAGTCTTCCTTGATCTTTCAGTAGCCTTTGGTGCCATCAGTCACCATAGCCTTTTGCAACAGCTTAAAGAAGTAGGCCTTTTGTTGGCCTTTTTTCTTTGGTTTTAGTCAGTGTTGATAATGAGGAGAAGTCTGGCCCTAAAGCCTCCACTATGCAGGGTCTGGAGGATTCAATTCTTTCCCTGGTCCTATTTAACTTCTATATGAAACCACTGGGCAAGGGAACTTGTTGGTACAGAGTTAAGTGCCATCACCTTTTGATGATACTCAGCTATGTAGTATCAGTACTCAGCTGTTCAAGGTTATTTCCCAGTATCAATAAAGAGAATCTCTGTAGTTCAAGGTCGATCTGTGGAATACTTGGTGCTCTCTGAGCTTGATTGTTTGCTTGCAGATGTTTCATTACTCAACATCATCAGTGTTAGTGAGTCTGGTGTTTGTTCCCTGCTTACATACCAGTGGCTTGCCCTGCCAGTGTTGGTAGCAATGTGGTTTTCTCCTTGGTAGTTCCTTGATTCAAGTATCTTTCACTGCTTAATGTTTGTCGGGTGTTAATCCCTGCTTATCTGAATGTTAGCAACTGGAGAGGATGTCTTGTGGTCTTTTTGTTCTCTTCTTATTGTCTTTTTTGAATGGTGTGTAAATTGTGATTTATTTCTATGTGCCTGTTGATGGCTGATTTGTCTGAATGCCAAACAGAATTCCTGAGTATTTGAGGATTTAGCCTGGTCTAGGATACTCACACTTTCCCAATTGACACTATGGTTGAGTCTGTCTATGTGTTCTGAAATTAAGGAGTTTTTATCATGTCTTCTGGGTGTTCATGGGCACCCTCTGCTAGACTTGTCGGATTTGTCCTATAGAGTGGCTGTTACAGGACTTTACTGCCAGCAGAGGCTCAAGTAATGTCCAAACCAGCAGCTATAAATGACATTTCATTCCCCACTATCTGAAATTAAGCCCAATTGTAAAATAACCCTTACTTGTGAAGAAGGGGAAAGAAAACCCCTCTTGGCAGTGGGGGTGGAAGGGACTACAATATTTGCAGTTCCCAGCAAGGACCTGGTTCAAACTTCACTTCAAAAAGCTAATGTCTGAGCGCCCTCTTGTGGATTTGTGGAAATTGTGATTTCAGTAGGATACCTTGAAAAATCAGGCTAAACCTGGATCCCTGGAAGGAAGTTAACCATTGAAGATGCCAATTGAATGCTGTAGTTAAAACTGAAGAAACTTCCAATTTATGAAGAATTTTGTCTATATTGTGATTGGAGTGTTGCAAATTATTCCTGCAAGATGATTATGCCTCAGATTCTAAAAAGTTTAATTAACAATGAAGGCAAATATAATACGTATCCCAGGATAATGTTGCAAGATCTAATCTGGGTCGCTCACCGGAACCAGAGGTTTGGCCTTCTGAGCTTTCAGACGCATGCTGGAGCCCCCATCCTCAGGGAACCTCTCCCTCACCAGAACTTCTCTCTCTGCTAGAGACAGAAGCTCCCCTGAGGATGGGCTCAGCACAAGTCTGAAAATTCAGAAGAATAAGGCTCTGGTCCTGGTGACCGACCCAGATTGGATCCAACTCTCAGTCTTTGAAGTGCCTTTGTTTTGGACAAAATTGGACAATATGATTCCATATGGTCAACTGAATGGTAATATATAATTAACAGCCTGACAATGTAAATTTTGAAATTTGAATAGTTTAAAATTTTCATTATTTTATTTTTCAACTTTCATTTTTGGTTTTTCTTCCCTCTTCTTTCACTGTTTTCTCTTGGTTGTTTTCAACATATTTTTCTTTTTTAAAAAATGAGTTCATTTACGTATATTAGTTTTATAGTTCATGGTTCCGAAAGATGAAGCTCTTCAAAGAACTTTGAGGCATTGTTTACCTTAAAGAATCTTTTAATTTGCAACATAGTGAAGCCAAAATCTGAATTCTCCTCCCCCAACACATCGTAACAAAGCATAACTCACTTCTTCATTTAACAGTCATTAACCACATTCTCCAATTAGTTTGAAGTGTGAACTTTCCCTCCAGTTACCTCCTCTTATTATAACTAACCTTGAAAAATACCCTACTGAAATATTGTTATGGCTAACTAGTCCCCAAGCACATTCTTCCCCCCTCCCTTCCAGCACTATCTAATTTTAACTCTAAAAGTAATACAGGTTAAATAGAAAATGTCTGCATCTTCATATATTATCAAGCAAGAACATCTGATGTTAGCAGCATTGACATCATATTTGCTACCATAAATATGTTTTAAGAAAATTTAATTGAACTTTCATTTTAGGAAATTATTTTAAGAAAATTTAACTGAAAGTTTCTAAAATTTAATTTTAAAAAAGACCAAGTCCCCTCCCCCACAATCCCTGAGCATTGCAAAGGTTGCAAGGCTGGCAGATTTCTAACACTAAGCGAACTCTAAATACTTAAGTCAATTTGTGTTGTGTCCTGAGCCTGCAAAAGCAGGCTCGGGACGTTGCTATGGTCCCGGGCTGTTGCAAGCTGCCCAAGACCAGACTAAGCGTGCCAGCCTGCGCGCATGCGCAAGGCGCGAAAGCGCGCCATTTTCTCATTGTAACCTTTTTGCCCGGGAATCTATATAATTAGAGAGAGGCCTGCGAGCCTCTGAGTTGTGTTGGAGTGAGCAGCAGAAGAATAAACAGTTGTTGGCTACAGAATGCGTGCTCTTCTTCCGCCATTAACTCGAGGACTTAACACTGGCGACGAAGGTGGGATGGCTTGCAACTGAAAGAAGAAAAGTTGTAAGACTTACCCAAGGAGTCCTTGAGGAAAGGAAGATGACGTTAAATTCAGCGTCTGGCCTGCCAGTACAATGTCGCTGGAGGTAAGCTTGGCTGATGTCTAGACATAGAAGCAAGGATGGCGAAGATAGGGCGTTTAACGTTGCTCACCCAGAGAGATGGGAGTCCTATGTTGCTGGAGTAGAAAATTACTTTAGAGTGAATCAAGTTAGAGAAGATGGCTTGAAGGCTGCAAACTTGTTGTGTGTCTGTGGTCAGGACGCGTTTGAAATTGTAGAAAATTTGGCGGCCCCTGCTCCTCTAGAGTCTGTAATGTACACAGACTTAAAGAAGCTATTAAAAGAACATTTCCAGCCCAAGATGTCTGTCATTGCATGGAGACACACGTTTGAACAGAGGGATCAGAGAGCAGGTGAATCAGCCAAGGAATTCATTGCAGCCTTGAGAAGAGCAGCCAAACCCTGCGAATTTAAAGATTTAAAAGAGAGGCTGAGAGATCATTTTGTATGCGGTTTGAGGAACAGAGACTTGCAACAGAGACTCTTTGCAAAGGAAAGAGCATCTTCGTTCCAAGATGCTTTGAGAGAGATAACGGCTGAGGAGGCAGCAGGTGGGGCAGTCAAGAACATGCGGCCCATCAGGAACAATCCAGAAGCAGTTTCCGTGCACCATGAGGGAGTCCAAGAAGGCTCAGAGGAAGATCCTGAAGAAGAGGTGGATCGTCTTTACCCATCCACGGAAAGAAAACAGAAGGAAAGCAAAGAAAAAGCTCCAGCTGCGTCCAAATGCTTCGGGTATGGAGGTCGCCATAAGAGAGCCGACTGCAGGTTCCATTCCGCCATCTGCAGAGCATGTGGCAGGCAAGGCCACATAGCATCCATCTGTCTGGGTCGCCAGAAGGTACAACCTCAAGAAGAATTGCGTCTGAAAGGTAACAGGGTTCCTAGTCAAAACAGGGTGGTTTTCTGCACATTGCGCAGAAGTATTTGCAGAACAGGCACACACAAAGCACTTAAAAAGAAGCTGTCACTTAAGGTGAGGTTGAAAGGAGTCCGTTTGGTTATGGAGCTGGACACTGGGTCCGCTCTTTCAATCATTTCCATTCATACATTTAGGAAGATTTGCAACAGCAGTGGGTTCCAGGCCAAACTTAGGCCATCCAACATTTTAACATACTTTCAAAATTCCAAAGTGTGTGTAAAGGGGGAGGCCATCCTTACAGTGCAGCACAAGGATTTTGAAGGTCCATTGGATGTGTTGGGGGTGAACGAACGAGCCTTATAGGACTCGATTGGTTTGAGGCCTTGGGAATCCAGGTTACTGGGCTACAATATTTGCAAATGCCGGGCCTAGCAGAAGTCTGCAAGGAGTTTGCAGATGTGTTTAGTCCACAGCTTGGGTCCTACAAGGGGCCTCCAGTTTTATTAAGGCTTGACCCTATCATCACACCCATTAGGGTTAAAGCTAGGAGAGTACCTTTTGCATTAAAAGGTAAAATTGATGCTGAGCTAGATAAATTGATCCAGCAAGGTATTTTAGAGCCTGTAGATTCACATCCATGGGAAACCCCCATAGTCACGCCTCTCAAGGCTAATGGGGACATACGCATATGTGCAGACTACAAGTGCACTATAAACAAGGCACTGCAACAGCACACGTACCCCGTACCAGTAGTCAGCCATATTTTGGCTTCCCTCAAAGGGGGGCGAGTTTTTGCAAAACTCGATCTGGCACAGGCATATCAACAGTTATCTGTTGATGAAGCATCTGCTGAAGCATAGACCATCGTAACGCATAGGGGTGCATTCAAGGTCAAGAGACTGCAATTTGGGGTAAATGTAGCCCCTGGCATATTCCAAAGTGTCATGGAGAGTACACTTAGGGGTATCCCTGGAGTTTGCCCCATTTTGATGATGTCCTTATTGCTGGAGAATCTATTCAGAACTTAGCAGAGAGATTAAGGGCTGTTTTGCTTCGTTTCCGGAGAGCAGGCCTAAAATTAAAAAATGACAAGTGTAAGATAGGAGTCACTGCTACAGATTTCTTGGGATTCAGAATAGATGCCTGCTGAATCTAAATTGAAGGCTATACAGCAGGCTCCTAGCTCTAAGTCTAAAAGTGAACTGCAGGCTTTCTCAGGTCTTTTGAATTTTTACAACGTTTTCCTATCTCACAAAGCTGCTGTAGCAGAACCTCTACATAGGCTTTTAGACAAGCAGGCAGTTTGGCAGTGGACCAAAGTCCATGAAAAGAGCTTCAATGAGGTCAAGGCCTTGCTAATGTGCTTGCACATTTCAATGAAAAATTACCTGTCTGCATCGCCTGTGATGCATCTCCTTATGGGGTGAGAGCTGTACTTAGCCATTTGAGGGCTGATGGAACTCAGGTTCCTGTAGCATATTACTCCAGGACTCTATCTTCTGCTGAGTGTAATTACGCTCAAATAGAGCGTATAGTAGTGGGAGTTAAGACATTCCATGACTTTTTTATATGGCCGGCATTTCACGGTCTACACAGACCATAAGCCTCTGCTGGGGTTGTTTACAACCAACAAACAAACACCTCACATTATTTCCCCTAGAATGCTGAGGTGGTCTATTTTTTTGTCTGCATATGATTATTCTTTAATTCACAAACCTGGTAAGGAAATGGGCCATGCTGATGGCCTAAGCAGACTACCTCTGAAGCTGGTAGAAGCAGACCCTGCTCCTGCCATCAATATTCTCTCCATTCAGGAGTTGCCTGAATCTCCCCTCAATGCCAGGGATGTGGCTGCAGAAACAGCCACAGATGTCACACTTACACGTGTGCTTTCATGGGTTTTGTCTGGATGGCCTGACAGAAGACCAGGTACTGAGTTCCAAAGCTTCTGACTCAAGAAGCATGAGTTATCCACCTTTAAGTGTTGCCTGTTGTGGGGCAGCAGGGTAGTTATTCCTACCTCATTGAGACCGAGAATCTTGGTCTCTTCATCCTGGCATTGTCAGGATGAAAGCGCTTGCGCGCAGCTACCTATGGTGGCCTGGGCTAGACAAGGATATAGAGGCCCAGGTGCATGGGTGTCACTTGTGCCAGCACTCAATGCCAGAAATGCCTCAGGTCCCTGTGCTTAGGTAGGAGGAAACACAATCACCTTGGTCCAGAGTGCATATAGATTACGCTGGGCCTTTTCAGGGGCTATTCTTCTTGGTCCTTGTTGATAGCCATTCAAAGTGGCTAGAGGTTGTTCCTGTGTCCTCCACTACTACTGCCAGGACCATCCAGGTGTTGAGAGGCATTTTTGCTGCACACGGCCTTCCAGATGTTCTGGTTTCAGATAACGGTCCTCAATTCACTTCTTCCGAGTTCCAGGTTTTCCTGCAGGCCAACATGATCCGTCATGCAACTTCGGCCCCTTTCCACCCTTCCACCAATGGTATGGCTGAATGAATGGTGCGCATCACCAAGGACACCCTCAAGAAACTGACTTACGGTGACTGGCATCACAGGTTGGCAGATTTTCTTCTTGCACACCGCACCACACCTTGTACTTCCACTGGGAAAAACCCAGCAGAACTCCGCTGGGGTCGCAGACTAATCACTAAACTTGACAGATTGCACCCTGATAGGGTGGCGCTTCTGGTTTCACAGCCAAGGGCACCAAGGTGTTTGCAAGTGGGTGCTCCGGTTTGGACCCAGAACTACGGGCCTGGTCATCTTTGGATTCCAGCTGTGGTCTGCAAGGTCACTGGTCCGTTATCCTACGAGGTGTCCTTGGACGACGGCTGCGTTCTCCGGTGGCACATCAACCAGCTGCGTCCAAGACTGGACTCTTCCTCTTCCGCTCCTGGGTTTTCTCTGGGGGGGAGGAGGGTTATAGTGTGCAGAGGGAAGGGCGCTGTCAGCAGTCAAGGGCAAATGAAGAGGCAGGGGAAGGCCCCTCCCAAGATTCCGCAAGTGCGCCCAACAGGAATTCATGGGAACAAGGAACAATGCACACACCATTATGTACTCCAGCCAGGGAGTCACCCAGGGGGTACCCGCACTATTCACAAACACACTACAGCACTCCAGACAGGGAGAATAACCGGGAGTATAGTAACAACTCAAAGTCTACAAGAGAATTGGCATCCACCCAAAGAAACTGGTCCAATTCTGCAATTGCTCCCAGAAGGAAATCACTGAAAAAGGGGGTAGTCAGAGAAGCAAATCCTGATTCTGGTACCTCCGGCACTGAATGGGGGGCAATAGGGTATTGGGGCACCGTAGATACCCCGGACAACCCTTCTACTGGGCTTGGGAGTGAGGGACTGTGTTCCCAAGATGGGTCCACAAAATACTGGGTGGGACTCAGAGGGTCCAGACAGCCTACACTCAGGCAGATCAACCAGGTTCAGGGAGGAGCAAAGTCCTGGTCTGCCAAGCCCGGTGGGCAAGCAAGCAGACCAGGCAACAGAACCCAGGTCACGGGGACCACTAGGGCAGCAAAGAGGGGGCAACTTAACTCCTGTAATGGCACAGGAAAACCAAGGAGGTTCCCAAGGTCCGAGGAGGTCGCAAAGGGCTAAACACCCACCCAAATATCTTAAGGAGTTTGTGACGTTGCTCTCAAGGAAAAGACAAAGCAGCTATACTATAACTGAATGGGTAGTTGGAATTGTGAGTGTAAGGCAACATAATTCCAAAACAATAGCACGGTACCATACAAAAGTGTGATCCTGGAATAACATCCACAGTCCATGCATTTCAATGCTGAATGAGAATACCACGTCCCTTCAGAGAGGTCGCATATATGGATAGAGTAAGCTTTATCTGGGGGGAAGGGGTGTTGTGTCCTGAGCCTGCAAAAGCAGGCTCGGGACGTTGCTATGGTCCCGGGCTGTTGCAAACTGCCGGGGACCAGACTAAGCGGCGCCAGCCTGCGCGCATGTGCAAGATGCGAAAGCACGCCATTTTCTCATTGTAACCTTTTTGCCCGGGAATCTACATAATTAGAGAGAGGCTTGCAAGCCTCTGAGTTGTGTTGGAGTGAGCAGAAGAAGAATAAACAGTTGTTGGCTACAGAATGCGTGCTCTTCTTCCGCCATTAACTCGAGGACTTAACAGTCTGCACCAGAATTGATCTGCAGTTCACAATTTAAACAGAAAGGGAATGGAATGACTGTAGAAAAAGAAAATACCTGGGCCTCCATTCCGTTGTGCTTCCCGAATGTCAAGCAGCACTTGGACTTCCCTTCTGCAGGCTACAACCTCCCTAGGGCTGAGCTGCAGAGGGAGAGAAACAGAAGCCAGCAGAGGCAAGTTTTTACTTGCTGAGCCAGAACTGATTCTAACCTTTGCAGCTCCCAGCCCACCTCGGAAACGTGACTGGAGGCGGAGGCGGAAGGAGCAGCAGCAGTGGGCCCTTCCCAAGGACACCAGCTGAGCACAAGAGAGCTCTCCTCAGCTTAAGGAAGCCCCTGGACTGGATCAGAAGAGCCCCATTTTCAGGGGGAAAAACTTCATGCTGGTGAGTTGGGGGTAAAAGGAAAGTGGAGAATCTCTCCTTCCTCGTCTAGCCCCACATAAGTTCTTTAATCTCCAGATTTCCCATTAGCTCAGAAAGAGTCGTTGGTTGCCCCTGAGCACAACCGCAGATCAGGACAGGATAAAAGGAGGACAGGGGCTGTCACAGAAGCTGCTGTGGGGGGGAGGGGGGAGATGCATACATCTCTCTCTCTCTCTCTCTCTCTCTCTCTCTCTGTGTGTGTGTGTGTGTGTGTGTGAGAGAGAGAGAGAGAGAGAGAGAGAGAGCAAACCTAAATGTCAATCTTAACAAGGTCCCCAGTCCCTGGACTTGCCTAGGCTGCTCTGGGAGGGCAAAGGGGATTCCCTCAGCTTGTGGGGGGAATATGCAAAAATGTCAAAGAATGGAGTTGTAAAGTGTCAGAAGCAGAGCAATAAACTGTGGTGTCCTCTTCCCCTCCAGACCAGAGGTACATTTTGGAAGAAGGATGATTTTGTTTTCCTGTCCTGATGACCAATACTCTTGGGTCCTCTTGACACAGGGGTGTGTGGCAGGAACCAAAGCAGGGCTGCAATATCAAGAAAGTGGGCCAAGCACAAAGTGAGTCCAAGGTCAGAGTCCCTTTCCAGCCTTGGCTTCTGATCTCAGAGCATTTCACCACTGGCCACCATCTTGACTTGTGCTCAATTGTGTAGCTTGTTCCGTCCGTTCTTTTTCAGAGCTGCCAGATCATGCTTTAGCTCCTGCCATTCAAGCAGAGGTGGACATTCCTTTTTAGGCAAGTTTTGGGTATTCCGCAGTGAGGTATCATTGCAGGGTCTGGATTGGATTGATAGAGGTGGTTCTTTTACACTCTTGAGGCTGCTGAGCCTCTCCAGAATCTTGCGGTTGGGTGGTACAAAAACACAATGAAGAGACATGTTGCCACTTCCTTCCTGAGCAGAGGGCAAGTGATTGGCATACCTTCATTCAAGTCGCAGTTGGCCATCAGCTTCAAGTGAATTTTGCTTCAATTATTTGGGTTTCACGGCAAACACCATCGTGGCTATGCACCTTCAGACCTGGCCAGTTCCCCTCCTGTGTGATTTTGTGCAAACTCTCCCTGGGAGCTATTTTGATATTCTTTTAAAATATCCAAGTATAATTATAAAAGAAGTGTGAGTATGAAACCTATTTTTTCAACCACTTACTCTTTTTAAATGGTTTAAAACAAATCACCCCAGGATAGCACATATCAATAATCTGAGAATTATAACTAAAAAAACAGAAGAGGATGTTTTACAATAGTTGGCAAAAGCCTCCCCATGCTTGACGTTTCAGCAAAGCACTTTGTGTGCAAAGGCCTTGTGTTAGTTCTGTGGGACCTGAGGCAGAAGGAGGCCTGTGGAAACCTCTGTTAACCTCCTTCTTGTTCTAAGGGAGGAGGTGTTCTCCTCCCCACAATTGCAAGGTCAAGTGCAACATAAACTATTTTAATGAATGATGTATCACTAGAAGACATGAGAAGACCAATTCAAAATTCCACCAACACAGAATATTTCGATTGAATCATTGCCCTGTTGACTAATTAAGAAAATAGTTCTTGCTAAGGAATCCAGAGAAAAAACATTTCCCTCTGAGAAAGCTTCTGAGCAATCAGTCAAGAGTGGCAGCATGGAGTTGCATTTGTGATCAACAGCTGGAGAGGCTCTGGCTGTGCTCCTCACATTGGTGCAGAGTGAAATTAGTCTTTCTTTTTTGAAGCAAAAGCTGTAGCAGATTCTAGCTCACTGCCTGGCCTGGTCTCACAATCAGAGCAGGTACATGAGTGAGGGGCAGAACAGGACACACAATCTCAGCCCCAGCTGCTTACCGCAGGAAAAGTCCCTCCCATTTCTTTACCCCACACCTCCCCTAATTGATTTCATAGTGTCCAGTTTATTTTTCTGTTTCTAAAGTTTTTTTCTGAATGGCCCTAAGCTTAGAAAGGGTATTCCAAAGAAATTTATTGAATTGAATGCTTTATTAATTTATTCATCCATTCATCACATTTATATAGACTGATTAAATAGTCTGATGGTCACAGTTCTCTAAGCAGTTCATACAATACACGTACAATACAGTACAGATATGGTCTAGACTCTAGAAGAAGAAGGCGTTCAACAGACATTTGGTTAAAACCAGCCTAGGCTGGAAAAAGAGAAGGAAGTGAGAAAGAAATTTAGCATTGCCCCACCTTGATTCTCTTGGATATAAAAGCGGGGAGAGAGGAACTCTGCCAGGCTTCCAAGAATATGTTAATTATACCTTCAACAATAAAATCAGTTCCGGGAGTTATGTGGTTATTATTCATCAACAACCTAGCAGCCTACTTTGAACTAATTAAAGTTTTCAGACTTTTTCAGATGGAGTCCCAGATAAAACAGATTCCACTGACAATCTAGAAAGTTAAGAGAGCATGGATTACTACAATTGCAAATGGGCAGAGCAGATAAGTGACAATCTCTATTTCACTGAAGCCCAATTAAAAATATCTGTGACTGGCTGACTCTGGTGAATTCCAGAAGATCCAAAGCTATGCACTTGGTCTCTTTTGCAATCCAGCAAAATGGAATTGAATGGAGAATTGGCCTCTCTCTCTAAATCTGGGCAAGAAAAGACTGTGGAACAGAAGAGGCCAACTCTTTGATTTCTTTGTCCATTTTTAGACAAGTCAAGGGAGAAAATTAACTTATTTGAAACATTGACATTATGTTTGATTTATTGATAATTGCCTAAGCTAAGACTAAAAAGTCCAGGTAAGGAAAATCACAAATGAAAGATTAAAAAGCATTAACACAATGCAAAGGAAAACAGCCTAGAAAACACCTCTCTACCTCCTGTTAAAAAAGCTGTCCCTGTTTTTTCAGGCAAAGCCACTATGAGGAAGTCCGTTCAGATGGTAACCCTATGGGGAAAACAAGCCCCTCCCCACAGCATCACAGCTATCCTCATCACAGATGACCAGAGAACAATCGTCACAGGGAGTCACGAAGGCCAAGTCTGTCTTTGGGACTTGCTACCAGACCTCCAGGTGTGAAAAGTTCTCCTGGCTCCTTCCAGGGCTGCTCCCAGCACCAGTCTGGTCAGAGGAAAAGCTCCTCAATGAGGACTGCATCTTCCCAGGTGGAATTAGCCATTCCTTTTGGGATACCGTAACCCTATCACAGTCCAGAGAGAAGCAATTTCATTCTTTCCAGTAGAATGTTATTTTCCATTTATCTGCTCTGTAATCAAAAACATACTATCTGTTATTGAAAAACAATCTCTTTGACTTCGTTAACTTTTTGCCCTTATAGATGTCATCAAGGCAGATGCTTTTGGGGCACACGGCATCAGTGACGTGTTTGGCAAAGGCAAGAGATTTTGAGAAGCAACCATACGTGGTCAGTGCTACTGAGAATGGGTCAGTCGCTTTGCATTTCCCATGACACCTCATCCATGGCAAGTTCTGAGTTGAAGGAGATAGACGTGCTGTTTTGGAGCAGTAGAAATTGGTGCCTTGTGGCTTTCTTAAGAGTAATTCTTGCTAAGGTAGCTTAGGACTGGTATGAGTATCTCCAAGATTTCAGGTGAAAAAGGGGGCTAGTTGTCGAAGAGCCCTGGAAGGTGTTTTAATAAAAGATCTTTTCAGTGGGAGGCCCAAGATGAAAGGGAAGACTGATCTTCTGAAATACAGAGAAGGGATATGAGCCTTGATCCATTCTCAAGAACACAAGAACCTTTGTGTAACCTGCCTCTGATGTGCCAGCTAATAGAAGCAAGGTAGCTTGTTCAATGTCTGAGACAAAACCATTTTCTATGCTTTTTTAAAGACAGCTCATGGGGATATTGACAAAACTGTTCCTGTGTAGGTGAGGAAAGTTAAACCCTAACAATTATTTTAAAATGGATTTTATCATATTTCAATAATAACTGGTTTCGGTGTAACTTACACTTTATCTACTTCCTTCTGTCCTTAAATTTCGAAGTAAATCCCATGCTGTGTGTGTGTGTGTGTGTGTGTGTGTGTGTGTGTGTCATAGCATATCATCAATAGTTCTTTTGGCAGAGAGATGAGCATTTGGGACATCACCAGTGGACGGTGTATAGAGAATACAAGGCTTCCATTTCGGCACACAGCCATCTGTGTAAGTAGAACACATCCTTACTCTGTTCTTTTGAGGATCATCTCTTAGCAGCTTCTTCTTACACAGGGCTTGATGGTGTCTCCAGTAATTTGATGAAAAAATGTTCCAGATGTGAGAAAGTACTAAACAGAATACAGTCTGGGTTTTATACCTACATTTATAAAAATTTGAGTAAAGGCTGTCCTTCCAGGGCACAACTAAATGAAGATCTCAGCAAATGCTTAGAAGTCCATGACTTCTGGTAAGCACTGGGGGTTCAGGAATGCTCCGACTGAATCTGGCATGCTGTTTCTTTTTGGGATGCCATTACATCCATTAGCTTCTGTCTAGCACCATGCTGAGTTGAAGCGGCTGCACTTTCTGCTTTCTTTAGCTTTGGGAGGAAGGAACCGATTGGACAAGACTGGGCCATTAACAAAGCATGCAGCTCCTGCTGCCATAGAAATTCAGCTGCGCACATCTGCAGCTCCTGCTGTGGTCTTTTTAGCAGTGGGGCCATGAGCTGAACTGAGCTTACCTGCAAAGTGGCTGCAGGTTTGGAATTGGTTGAGAAGCCATCGGCCTCAGACAGAATCTGCAGATAGCGCTGAGCAAAGTGCAACAGCCTTGTTTCACTGCACTAGCCTGCTTCTGTACTGCAGTGCCTGTTTAAGTGCATCAAATTTAGAATTAGAATTAGTATGCTCAGGAAACATTTATAATGGAATTCAGTCATGTGATTTGCTTGCATTGTGGGTGAGATGCAAAGAAGAGTCTCTTTCCACTTGTGCGTCATCTCTCACTTTTGTGTACTAGTGATGGTGCATTTCCTTGGTACACTAGCATTTTTCTGTAGCAGGACAAGGAGATGCAGGAAGAAGTATCTCCTACATGCATCTTTGGAACGGCACACAAATGAGATTGAAATAGGAATGGAAAAGGGTCCACAGGACTTCCTTCATAGCTTGGAACAATCCAGAATCAGCTCTAGGTCTAGGATGCTACTGTAAGCTGTCCAGATGCATCATCTTGGTCAGCCACTAGAGGGCAGAATGCACTTGGCCTGATCCACCCACCTCTGGGATCTGCAGGCTGTTTGATGAAGGCTGTTCCCAGCTAATGTCTGGTAGTCTCCGGATAACAGAGGTGCTTCTCAGTGGGCTTGGGTCCTGCCAGCTAATCTCTCGTGCCTTTTTCTCTTTGTACAGTATTACCACAGCTCATTTCGCATGGCAGGAGAGGGCTGGCTGGTCTGTTGTGGGCAGTATAACGACATCCTCATTATTGATGCGATAACCCTGGTTGTGCTTCACACATTAACCTCTTCTTCCTCTTCAGACTGGATCAGCTGCATGTGTTTAGTGCATTCTCTGAGGATTCAAGGTATATTTGCTATCAAAAGCATGCAAGTTGGATGCTTCTATGGGAAATTATCCATGCTTATCCATAGATAACATATAGGAGGATTGATGTAGAATTGTATTGGTATATCTATAATTTCTTTGGTGAGTGGGTGGCTACATGTCTGTTTGGAAATTACAGGAATTGGTCAGAGCTGCAGGATACAGTACAGTACTTGACAACATCATTGTCAAGAAGGCTGATGGTTTACTCCCAGAGGAACCTCCCTCCTGCTGGGAGCAAGGCTGGATTCTGTGGGACTCCTTTTCTTCTGGTCAGCACTTCTTAGGCTCTGGGACACATCAGGACTGTTGGTGCAAGGACAATTTTGCCCGTTCTTGGGACCCTGGGGTAGTGAGCGAGGGCAGAGCAAGCCTCAATTCTGAAGGCTCGGAACAGGAGCTGCAAGAACCCCAAATGGGTGCAGCCACCCACAGACATGAAGCAGGACAATATGAGGGCTCTCCTTGGAGGCTGGGCTTAGCTGCATGAGCAGGGTCTTAGCCCTTCCGTGTCATGTCGGGCGGGTAAGATCAACAGCACCATTTTCCTTGTGCCCCCTGCCTGTGACTCTCCCACAGCCATCATGTTTCACTTTTCCAGAGGATTCTTTACTAGCAGTATCTGCAGCAGGAGACCTTAAAGTCTGGGATTTGTCATCTTCAGTCAGCAGAATACAGGTGAGAAGCAAACGTCCATGTCCTGGGCCAGGTGTCTCTTTCTCTTCAGTCTGGCAATGTTGATTCAGGAGGGTTAGAAACATTCCTGTGAATGGACATAAAGGGGCCCCAAGTGTGTGGAAACTTCTGGAAAATTCTGCATCCAGGCCCAAGCCGAATGCAAAGCAAGTTTTCACCTAGAAAGGAATGATTATATTTGACATTAAAGATGATAGCAAATTAATTAATTAATTTACAGAAAAAAACCCAGGTCAGTTTTTTTTAAAGGTCTAATTCCAGTTACAGATAGATCAGGATAACTAGAAAATAATTTATCTTATAAAGAACTCCTAAGATTTGGTTGCAATTATATTTCTGGAATAAATTTCCTAAAAGAATCCAAATCTTAAAACACATATTCTCCGAACTAGAAAATATGCACAACTTTCCAACTGTCCTAAATCAGATACTGTATGGCTTTTGGAGTAAGATCTCACAACTGAAGGAGTGCAAAGGGGCATGGGGTTATTCTAGGACACATCATGATGCATCAACATGAATTTAAGGGAAATATCAGTTAAAAGTATTGGTAGTTTCTGTGCTCCCTAGACATGCCAGTATAAAATCTCTCATCAGTCAATCATATGGGGAAAAGTCAGTGAGCCTCCCTGGCCTTTGCTTTTTGTTTTGTGTGCTTGGTCTGTTGCTTTGGGTTTTATTTCCCATAACCTCCCAGGGTGGAGAGTGCCCTGGAGGTCTCCTGAAGTCCCAAACTGCTCCAGACAAGGCAGCATGGTTTAGATGTTGAAATCTTATAAGGGAACTGGCCAAGGGTTCTTATGGTCCCTTTGCCCTCATAGCTTGAGAGCATGCTAGAATACAAGAGAACTGAAAGGGAATAGATTGGAAAAGGAGTTCAAAATACAGCCATTCCCCCAGTCTTTCCATTAAATCTTAGGAAACCAAATACCATATTTGGGAGAGGCAAATTCTTCCCTCTTAATCAAATCCATTGATCTATTGTGTCAACTTTTACTTTATAGCCCAACTGCAGTGATGACTGATCATGGTATTTTTGTTTTCTTTTTTTAATTCCTCCCCCAAATGACCTTTTCTTTTTCTTTAAATTTGCAGGAGAAGCAAAACATTTTTGAAAGAGAATGCCAGCCTCTGGACTGCACACTCTGCAGCGCAATCCGATTTTGCACTTATACGGAGAGGCTTCTCTTAGCTGTATTCTCTACCTGCTGGAAGGTACTTGTTATACAGCAGTGCATGCAATATTAGGCATTTCTTTTACAAATAACTTCAAGAGCTTATCAAAATGCAGATGTTGAGTGAAAACTGAAAAATAATCATATACAAATTGTAATAGAGAATTAAGTCATACAAAATGATCATGAAATAGGCTAATGTTTAATAACCAAATCAATGTACAGATCAAATTAATGTTATTGATTTTAACACACATCTATTTCCTACAGTTTGAGAAACTAAATTAAAGCTATATCAGAATGTGAACATTCATGTTTCATTCCTTTACAGTAATAGATCGGAAGAAAAAAGCATCTTATTATTCTAGGTGTTTCTTCCATGATTCTGACAACTTTAGTGACTGAGTTTAATTAAATGAACTGTTAGGCCCTGAGTTGATGAACTGTCTGGCCAGGATGTTCCTGGATGTGCCAATGCTTTTCTCCAGTGTACTCGCTGGACAAAAAGACCACCCACCCACCCCACTCAGAAATCTTCTAGAAGGCATTCATCCCACCCAGGTTTTCCACTGTTCCAAGATTCCTAAAGTGTGTCCTGCTTCCAAATTTACTTTGCTCCCATGCTCTGTAACTGCTTCCTCTGATGGGAGGGAAGCGGATGATGGGCCAGGGCTCTGGCCAGAGGGATAGACATCTTTAATTCCCCCTTCCCCTCTTTATAGCAACAGGGTCACCTTCCCCCTTTTTGTCTCTGGCTTCAGGTGTATGATTATTGTGACTTCTCCTTGCTGTGGACTGAGCTTAGCCCATGCAGCCAGACCCTGGCAGGAGGGGAAATCCTCGCTGCCCACAGGTTGATCATTTGGACAGAAGACGGGCACGGCTACATCTATCAGTTGGTAAACAGGTGAGACACACCAAGCAAGGAAGTTGGCAGAAGCACCACCAGGAGCCCGTGAAGCCTTTTGATGGCTTCTAAGGTCCTGACTGGGGGACCCTCTCTTTGGCCCAAGGGGCTTTCAGTCAGGTAGCTGCTGCCCTTGTGGGCCAGGAGGGCATGTTTGTTGGCGCAATACCCAGAAGGAAGTGTTTACTAACAGAGGAGCTTCTGTTCCCATGCATTGTCAGAGGACTGATCCTCCCTCTTCCCCTGTTTTTAGTGGCCTTTCACAGAGCATACAGCCATCCAAAGGAGGGGTGCTGAAAGAAACAGTTCGTCCTGTTTTGCTCTCTTCTACTGAGGTGGAAGACAACAAAGTAAGTTGGCTGGATTTCTAGAGACCATTACAAACTAAAGGCCCATAAAGCTAGGAACTGAGGGCATTTTCTCAAAAGATTTTCAGTTTGCCATTGGAATCTCCATGGATTCCATGGATTCCATGGAGGAAATTAAGGACATTAAAATGGCTCCTTGCTTTCTTTCATGTTTCTTGCATCTCTAAATTTGTGCTCTTTAACCTGAAAATCAACTTGTGAGTGATTGGAGGCCATTCTCAGCCTCAGACCATTCAAATTTCTAGAGGAACACAAGTATGTAAGGGAAGGTGAAATATCAATATCCTGAATATATGCATTTCTTAGACTGCTGTACCAATATTCTAGAAAACACAGAGAAAGCTGTGTGAAGAGAGAACAAGCAGAAGTAATCTGCAAACTGTTAATTGGGACTTGTGGGGACCCCTCAAAGATGTTGCAGAAATTGATTATCTATCAGCTAACTCAGTTCCTCTTCTGTGATTTTATTTTCAATAGAGTTTTTCTTACATCATGGGCTTCATGAACGAAAGGAAGGAACCCTTTTATAAGATTCTTTATTCTGGACAAGCTTCTGGGAGGATTACTTTATGGCATGTTCCTGATGTGCCTGTTTCAACTCTAGATGGCTCTCCAAAAGGTTAAAATGTTTTTTATTTTAGAGTTTGCACTGGAAAAGGTGAAGATGGGACCTCCTAGCATAAACTCCCTTACTACTTTGCTTATCTACTCTATTGTATTCAGAGGGTGATCTGGGTTTGGATATACATCCCTGCTAGATAATATAGGCATTGGGAAGGTAGACAGTACACAGTGGCTTCTCACCAGATCTTATTTTTCACAAAATAAGCCTTGTATGAGAAAACATTTGCACCATTTTGACTCTTCTGCTGGAAAAAGTGTGTAAAATATGCAGGTGACAGAAAATCTGGAGAGTAAGTTCCTTCTCCTCAAGATTGCCCAAATCCAGGGAAGAAGTAATAAAAAAAGAAGTGCTTCTTTTCTTTTTTCTTTTTTCTTGAAAAGTTTTATAAAAGTTACAATACATACCCCAAAACCCACCCACCCTAAACCCCCCCGTTCCCCACTTCCCAGAGTTGAGTACAGGGTAACAAATATAATAATCATACTCTAACTAACATTAACCAACTATGTAAATAACCAAGCCCATAATGCGTTTTAACTCCCCTTTAACATAAAAATAAACAAATTAAAAATAAATGTAATAATATAAACAAGTTAAAATCCTAATTTTTGAACAATACAATATCCAAATTGTTAAACAATACTAACAAAAATAATAATAAAACTAATAAAAATTCCATTATAATAAACTATTAATAATAATAATACTCTAAAATTTACTCATAAAGTAGATGGAACTTTTTAGTCCCATATTTATTCTGAATATAATCTATCCATCTTCTCCAAACCGAAAATGTATCTTTCTTGTGAATGATCCTTCAAATAAGCAGAAATCTTAGCCATTTCTGCTAAATTTGACCCTTTAAATGTCCATTCTTCTATAGTAGGCAAATAATCCTTCTTCCAATATTGCCCTACCAATAACCTTGCAGCTGTTATCAAATTCAACATCAAATTAATTTCTTTAGCATCACAACCTACAATAACACTCAATAAAAATAATTGTGGAGTAAACTTTATCTTTCTCCTAAAAATCTTTTGAATGTTCCACCAAATCTTAATCCAAAAAGCTTTTATATTTCTACAAATCCACCAGATATGAAAATAAGTAGCATCCAAGCTACCACATCTCCAACATTTGGGCTGTAAATTAGACAACTTTTTAGGATCCAGATGCCATCTATAAAACATTTTGTAAAAATTTTCTCTTAAATTTTGGGCCTGGGTAAATTTTACATTCCTAACCCAAATTAGAAATCGGTTCTTGAATATTTTGGGCCCATTTTACCATACAATCTTTAACTAAATCCATTTTCGAATCCAATTCTATTAAAGCATTATAAATTCTCTTTATATGCGCTCGATTTTGATCTTTAATCTGTTTTACCAAATTCTCATCCATTAAAGTAATACCAACCTTTTGATCTAACTTCCACCTAGCCATACTGAAACCAAGACTGTACAATATTTTCTTGCTTTAACTCAACTAACGATTTTAATTGCCATTCATTCCCTACCAATCTAAGTAATTCCTTATAAGAAGTCCTATCCAAATTCACACCCATAGATACCATGTTCATGTTCCCAGGAATCCCCCAGATTGGTATTTTGTAATTTAACTTATAATAATACTTCTTCCAGACACGCAATAAAGCACTTCGTAAAATATGAGATTTAAAAGCCTGGTCAACTTTTTTATTATAAATTAAGTATGCATGCCACCCACATAATAAATCCCATCCCTCAAGATGAAGTATACTTTTATTTGTTAAATTAAGCCAATCACTAACCAGTGTTAAAACCACCGCATCATAATATAATTTCAAATTAGGCACCTTAAGTTCTCCTCTTTCCCGTGCGTCTTTGTAAGATCTTAAGTTTAATTCTTGGTTTTTTCCCCACCCAAATAAATTTATTAATACCCTTCTGCCATTCATCTAAATTGGCGTCTTTTTTCAAAATTGGTATCATCTGAAACAAGAAAAGAAACTTTGGTCGAACATTCATTTTAACAGCTGCAATTCTCCCCAACAAAGATAATTGCAATTTTTTCCAATTGTTTAAGTCGTTTTGAACTTTTAACCATAATATCTCATAATTATTTTTATACAATTTTACATTAGAAGCTGTAATATATACTCCCAGATATTTAACCTTTTTCACTATTTCAAAACCTGTCAATTTAACTAACATTTCCTTTTCCTTCATAGTCATATTTTTAGATAATATTTTAGTCTTATTATTATTTACCTTAAAACCAGAAACTTTCCCATACTGAGTTATAATTTCCATCAAGTCTATAACCGATTGAATCGGTTGAGATAATGTCACAACCAAGTCATCCGCAAAAGCTCTCAACCTGTAATCATTTTTTTTAATTTTTATTCCCTTTATTATAGTTGATTCACAAATTTTAATCAGTAAAATCTCCAATGTTAAAACAAACAACAATGGCGACAACGGACATCCCTGTCTTGTACCTTTTTCAATTTTAAATGTCTCTGTTAATCCCTCATTGATTATGATTTGTGCTGATTGTTGTTGATGTATAGCCCTAAGAGAATATAAAAATTTATCCCCAAAATTCATTTTATCAACAACTTTCAATAAAAATTGCCAATTCAACTAATCAAAAGCTTTTTCAAGCATCCAAAAATATCATTGCCGCAGTATTATCCAAATACTCAATTAAGTTAACAATTTGTCTTACATTATATTTCATATATCTTCCAGTTATAAATCCAGACTGATCACTATGAATCATTTGCTTCAAAACTTGCATTAATCTATTTGCCAATATTTTTGAAAAAATCTTATAATCAGTATTCAAAAGCGATACAGGTCTATAATTCTTAGGCTGGGTAAGGTATTGATCCTCCTTTGGAATCAGCGATATAAAAGCCCTTCTCCAAGACGGAGACACTAGAAGTGCTTCTTTTCAACACCTATAGTCGCCCTGTAGAGTTTGCTTCCACACCACAATACAGGATGGCTTTGAAATGCTGGGCTAAATTCCTGGGGAATAACAGTCTTGCTGGCTAGTAACTAAGATGACTGAAGGCTACCTTGGAGGCCGATGCTTGGAGAAGGCCATCCAGAGGGGTGCTTGCACTCATGTTCTGCTTATTTTCCATCCAAAGGCTTTTGGTGGGCCCAGAACACTAATCTAGAGGGACCAAACTCTCCTCAAGGATATGAACGGGAAGATGCCATCGCTCACATCTCATTGGTTTTTTTCTCTGCAGTGATCCCAATAGCAGCATCCAGAACTATGCAGGATGACTTTAATATCCACTGTCAGATAGCTGAAGGTATCCCGGATCACCCCTGGGAAGCGCCCATCACAGTTTCTACATACATTCCCAGCCTTGAGAAGTTGGTCTGCGGATGTAAAGATGGCAGAATTATCACAGTACCAGCTTTGCATGCTGCGAAGGCCAGACTGTTGGGAGAGGATTCTGTGCAGAAAGGTGAGCAGCTTTGCAGCAGCTTTCTTTGACTGAGATATTTACAGGGATGTCAACTGCTGGCCCGCAGGCTGGTTGCATAATGCAGAGGCCGCGCCTACCTTCAACTCCCAGGTGCTTCAGGGACATGGCCACTTTTTTTTACGAGTGCCTTCTTGAGTGCCAAAGCAATGAACACCCCCTCGCCCGTGGGACAGCCATTTTATGTACCTCCACCCATCTCTCGGGCCCAGAAAGGCTGCCTCTGGCTCCCTGGGGGTCGATCCAGGAGACCAGCTGCTTGGTTCCCCCTCTGGGAGCGTGCTGTGCTGCCCACTCCTCTCTCGCCTGCTTCCAAGGGCCACGAGGAGCCCCCGCCCAACCGAGCCTGCCTCAGCTGGGGCCTCTGGGCTGCAGAAAGGCAGCAGCGGGGGCTCCTGGTGGAACAGGAGGCTCTTTCACTGTACTCCTGCCCACTCGACTCTCTTTGCAGACGCCACTGCCGTGCCCCACGTGCTGAGTGGCACTGGCTGCAGCGGCGTGACAGCCCTGCTAGTGCTGCCCAGCCGGCCGGCGCCCTGCTGGCTGCTCTCCGGGAGCCAGGACTCCTGTGTCGTCTGGTGGGACCTCTTCACCGGGGAGGCACTGCACCGCTTCGTGCTGGACGCGGGGCCCATCGTCCGCCTGCTCCTCTCGCCGGACAGCTGCAGGGTGAGTCGTGGCTCCTTGGGAGCCCAACCAGGCGGGCGGGCTTCTGCTCCGCTCCAGGGTCGGGCAAGGTCTTGGCAAGGCGAGAGGGGGGCCAGCAGCCCTTCCTTCCCCAAGGCCGCTCGACACGTGGAGCTCTTCCCGATGTCCCTCTTGTATCTGGCCGAGGAAGTCTTCCTTGCCTTGTCTTTGCAGCGGAAAGGTCATCGCCTCGTATGCTGCGTGTGCAGTGACCACTCCATCGTACTTTTGCACGTGCAAGAACGCACCTGCCTTTTGCGTGCCAGGAAACACCTTTTTCCCGTGACAGCATTACGATGGCACCCCATGGAGAATCTGCTGGTCGTGGGGTGTGAAAATGATTCGGTCTACATTTGGGACATTGAAACAGGTGAGAGAGGCGATGCTGCTCTGGTGTCGCCCCCCCCCCCCACTCTTCTGCTGCAGGCAGCCCCCTGGGCCTCCTTAGGAGCTAGTTATAATCATCAGCAGGAAAGGAATAGATGGACTCTCATCTGCCCCCTATTTTTCCTCGTACAATTCCTATTTGTGATTATTAGAGGAAGCAAAATTGGCCCCGAATAGATTTGCTTTTTGTCTCTCAGCCCAAAACCTAGACCTATTATAAATAAACTGCAGAAATATGGGTGACAATTAGATGGCAGGCAGCTATGCTATCATCAAAGGGCCATCAAGATTATCAGCTCAGTTAGTGGTAAGTGTATGAGCAAATAGCCATGGACCCTGAATCCTTATCTCGGTCTGTCCCAATAGAACCCAGATTTCGGTTGCAAAACTTTGGATGGGCACTAGAGGGCAGCGTTTCTTAGCGTTTAGAGAAGCTTACTTGTCCTGATTTGGATTATCAGAGATCATTGTCTATAAAAAATTGTGGCCTGATCCTAGAGAATGCAGGAAAGAGACCTGCTGCTGTGAACATCCACCTTCATTTCCTCTTTGCCTAGGAAGTCTAGAGCGCTACGAAAGTGGGGAAACAGCCAAAGCTATCCTTTCTTCCTGTGAAGATTCTGGTCTTATGGCTGACCCTCTTTATGCAGCCTTGGAAGAAGATGGCCACAAAGAGAAAGATCTGGGTGGCCCATTGTCCAGCTCCTTAGCCTTTGGCAGTTTTTCCTGCAGCAGGCTCGCTCATCAAAGGAGGTCTTTTTCTCATCAGGTGAATACATAGAAGGAAGCCACTGCTGGGTGTGTGAAGGAAAGCCTTTTGCGCTCCCTTTAGAAGCCTGCCCCCTTTTCTTCTCCAGGATTCCTCTGATGACTCCTGCTTCCCCATCTTTGGACTGTCCAGTTCCAAGGACTGAGAGCTCCCATTGATAGGTTTTAGCTACAGGTGGTATTTGTTCTAAATCACTGTAATGGTAGATTTCACTCATTCAATCCTTTTAATTGCCCAAGTGTTGAAAAAGGGCACTCTGCATTACAGTACACTTATTAGCTACCTCATCCATACAGACCTTTGCAGCCTCTCTACCTACTTGTGCAAAGTCTGGGCATTTTCAGATGTCAGTGTGCATGCTGCAAGTATTGTATAGAACTACTGTGTTCTATTAGTCATCAATAAGTTTAGAGGAATGTTTTCAAATGAAAATGAAGTATTCACAAAGAAAAAGCAATAGAAGCCCTTAGTAAGAAAAGTGTGTTTAGCAAACAAGAAGACGCCCTTGAAAAGGCTCCCTGGCTATTGCTGCTGCCAACCATCCCATGAAGCCAGCCTAGATGAGTAGTTCACAATTGTGTTATGTTTCAAAGGATCTCACTTCTTCTCCCTCCCCCTCCCTCCCCCCTTCAAAGAGCCCTCTTTGGGATACAGGGAAGAATGTGGGAGGAGAGGGCTTTTTCAGGAAAACATGCAAGTCAGCAACATCTGCAGACTTGAGGAAAAGAGCACAGGAGACCTTCAGGTTTTCCAGTTGTTTGCCTGTCTGGTCTTAGAATGGCTGGGATTCTGCATGTCTTAGAACTAAGATTAGAATTTGCCTTGGAGACAATCTTGTCCTTTGCTTGTTCGGTTTGTTTACAGATTAAGGGTGGCCAGCTTTGGAATGCTGATTTCTGCCTCATGGAGGCTGGCAGCACTCATTGCAGAATTGCTGGAGTCCAAAGGGAAAAGCGGGGCTCTTGATTGAAGGGGCTACTAGGGATTGAGGGAGGGCTCTTCATTTTACACCTGCTGCCAAGTGGGGTGGACCTCCTAAGGGAAAGAGAGTTGTGTCACCTGGAAGAGTGACAGGAGATCCCTGGACAGATGGTGCTTGTGGCCGATGACCCACAGCAGCTTGGCTGCAGTTGGACTGAGCCTAGAAATCCCTCTGACCAATTAAAACTCCTCAGGCATTTCCTTTATGGCTGGTTCACTACACATTGGATACATGTTTATGTCATTTGGTTGTTGCTTTTCAACACTTCTTTCCCATATTGATATGTCATTTATTCCTCATGTCTTTCTGTTTGGTGTTTTGCTATTTTCACTAGTGGCTTACTTTATACTTTTCAAAAGTGAAATATTGGCATACTTACTGATTACATTCATTGTTACATGACAGCCACCTGAATTGGATATAAATGTATATAAATATTTTGTTATATCAACTAAATTATTAAAACATTTATCTTTCAGTTAACTACTCTCTGCTGGGCTCAGGGGCCTTTTGCTGTTTGGCCATTGCGGGCAACATGGGAGAGCATCAATGTCAACATACTCCTTTTTGATTTGGAAAAGCTGGTGGAATTGCTCTGCTCCTCTCAGGCCAATGGACTAAAGTCCTCCAATTCCTTCAGCACCCTCGACATTTTAAAGAGAGCCAGAAGCACAACAGAGAAAAGGACATTAAAGAGAAACAGAACTTCTGGATCCCTCTCTCCAGTGGATGGGCAGGTCAGAGTGGTTAGTGAAGAACAAGACTCTGGGGAGGTACATATAGGTGGAACCTTTGAACAAAGTGATGGCTTCAAAAGATGCAAAAAAGCAAAGAGCTCCAAGAAGATTAAAAGGCAGTCCTCAGGAAAAACTAGCCCAACTGTTGCCACAGAGGCAGCCAAACTCCTTTTGTCCTGCTTTTTCCCCTGGGGTGTGAACAGAGAATTGGATGGTCTTTGTGTTCAGTATTTAGGTATCTTGAGACTTTTTTCTCCTGTCTCCTTCGGACTGCTTTCAAAAGACAATTATCTTACTCTGATGTTACCAGGATGGAGCAGTGCTAATTCTGAGAGGGTGGAAGAGCAGCAGGAGGTAGTCAATCTATTTTCTAGCAAAGTGCTGCATTTACATAGTAAATACTATAGTGTAACCCAAGAGCAAACAGACAAGAAGGATGGATGGAGAAACACTGTTACTTCTACAGAGCAAAGGCTAGCTCTCGGCTATTTGTTGAGCAGGATGTCTTTAGTTCAAAGGATAATTAATAGTCCTTCAGAAAAGTCCAGGTAAGACCGAGTCTAGCTTTTTCTGAAATAAAAATTAGTTGCTGTAGTTAGAAGAAACAGATGGATGAACAATTCTTGCCTATCATACGTCATTCACATATATCCTGGGGTTCCCTTCTCCCCAATCAGCTTCTGGTCACCAGGTCTATTCCTCTGAAAGGCCTGGGTTATCTGGTTCCTGGGAGAAGGTACCCTTCCGAGGCTTTCTTGCATGGTGTGCCCCACTCTCCTTCACAAAGAAAGATCTTACCAAGCACACACTACTTCCTCAAACTGCCCCCCCTTCAAAGATATAGTTAGCTCCTGGTTTTCACTTCACTGACTTGTCTTCTTTATCATCATCATCATCGTTATAGCCTGTAGTTCACCAGCTTGTTCAACCATGGCTAAACTATCCTCAACATACAGTACTTTGGAATGTTGCAAGAGCCCAGCTGAGTGGGAATTTTTCTCCTGAGTAGAGGCCTTTTCAGCTTTGTTTGCCTGCAAGATACACATTAAAGGAAGATGCTTTCTTCCTCCTCCTCCTCCTTGTATATACATGTGAGCTATCAAAGAGCTAAACTAACAGTGGAATTAAATTAATAATTATACTGTGTTTACCTGTTGGCACCTTTGCATGCCAACAGGTTCCCTGAGAGACAAATGATCTCTTTGCTTTCAGCCTCATGAAGCGCAACAAATGGAGACCTGCAGCATCTCTGGTCTTGGATGATTTTAATCTAGAGACTTCTCCACGTGAGTCCTGGTGACACAATCCACATTGTTTCCTAGGTGTATGATGAGAGGAAACCTTCCTTCCTGAAGAAAAGCCATAGGTTGCCTCAACCCTTCCAAGCCCTAAAATGTGCAGAGGCACCAGGTAGCCCAGAGGCCCTGTGGAAGACCAAGATCTGTCAGTATCTCCTTTTAATAATTTCAGCACATGGTACAATAGAACTAAACATTATTAAATACTATATACATTATCCAATATTCTTCACAATAAAGATAAGAAATGGTAACAAATATAGGCAGGTTAAGAAAATTCCAAGACAAATAGAAGTCTTGGTGCTGAAAAAATTGTAAAGGAGCACTTAAAATCATTTGGTGAGATTAATTAGTTGTTTAATTTTACAGGCTTTTGCCTCAGAGCAGAATGAAACTTCTCTTAATGCAGCTGTTTACAAAAGTTTGCTTTTTAAAATTAACCAAGATTTCAGAAGCAATGGCAAATATAATTTACTTTATTTATTTGCTCATAGGCCAAAAATAGTAAAACAAACACTTTGTATAGATGATACTAAACTAAATGAAAGAAGTTATAAGAGAAAGTAGAAAGGGAAAGGGGTATATATGCCTGCAGGTGGGGGAGGATTAGGAGGAGGGAGGCCCAGACTGCAGTTCTGCTTTGGAGTGACTTTGAGCCAGTCCCCAACCCTCAACCCTCAGTGGGGAAATCTACAAGCAACTGCCTGCCACCTGCACTGGACCAATATGGTAGATTATGGTCAGCATTATTGTGCCCTTGTGAAAGGCCCTTCTTTTTTCATTTCACTTGTCACTCTTGATCCAACTGTCAAGGAAAGGGATCCTTTCTAGAGAAAGTTATATTCTGTAGGAAGTAGATCCTAGCTGACAATGAATGTTTCTTCTGCTTCAGACATGTTGAGGTTTCCTGTTTGTGAGTCAGATAATCGTTCATTTGTCAAGCTAATTTCTTGCTGGAGAGACCAATCCATAGAGGTAAGAAAGCACCATTCCAAGGGCTTAAAATCCCCTCAGGTTTCAACTGGAGGAAGAGTTTTGCAGGGACTGGATCAACAAAGTGGAAGTTAATCCTGGGTGGGAAGCATTCCTTCTCTTCCATGCTGTGAGCCTTTGTATAAAATTTGGCAACCCATTTCCCAAACTGTCTGATGCTTGATGTAGGAGTCCCTGGTCATTCCTCAGTGTTTACCAGGGTGCCCGCTCTGGCTGAGCCTTCAGCCTTTCAGATGAAGGGGAGCAGCTAGAAGGGGAGCTCAACAGAAGAGGCCACCATCTGCTGGTCTCTTCCTCTAGACTCCTTCATTTGCAGAAGCACCTTGTGGCTGATTCCATTTCCAAGCAGGCCTTGCTGGCTGGCATAGACTGTTTAATTATATATGTAAAGGCTATTTGTTGTAAGAAAAACTTTTGAACAATTCAGGATAAACATTCTCTGCATATAGAAGAAAATATGTGCCCAGCCCTTTCCCTGATGTGCTAACTTGATAGGTGCATGGGATATTTTGGAATATTTCTCCTCTAGCACTTTCCTTCCACCCAGCCTGCAGCTGGACTGTTGCTGCCAGTTGCTGTTGCTGCCAATTCAGCTCTTTTTGCTCTTTCCCTGAACTACCCTTCTGGGGAAGCAGTGGGGCAAGGAGGCCTGCAGAACCAAGTCTGTCCCAACAGAAATTTAATTCCCCCTCTCTGTGACAGGTGATGGAGGCCACTCAGGCAACTTTGCTGGCTGAAGTGGAACAGAGCATACAGCAGAAGACCTTGGCTGGAGGCCATGGGCAAACAAATTCTACCAGACAGGGGACAGAGGGGGCCGAGAACCTCCCTTTGCAGGGTACAGCTTTTGGTAAGGTTCACAACAGTGATTTGGGGAGGAGGTACAGAGCAACCTGAGGCCTATTAATAGGCCTATTCCTATTAAATTATGGAGGCAGAGGAGTGGTGAAATCCACATTTACTACCCCTGTATTTACCTGCCTCCTACATTAGGGAAACATGCCATCCCTCCCCCACCATTTCTTCAAGTTACAGCAAGAATTGCTGCCATGACCCCAAGAGGATGCTCAGTTCTTAGATGCTGTGCCAAACCTTTGTGGGTTTGAGCCTCATCTTCCAGCAGTGATGCTTAAAAAAGAGACCTGGTGATGGCACTGAGTTGTGTCCTTGTAGAATCTCTCTCCCCCTTCCAAGGAAATGAAAGGACTGGCCAGACTTGACCAGACTTGTCCTTGATTCTTTTTAGTCAGCTGTGATTAAGACCTTTGGCCGTGGTCTGCGCTTCAGCCGGTGTTCATTAGAGCCATGCTTCAGGTTACAGCTCTTTCCTGTAAAGATCTACAGCTCAATATAATGCTTTCTCATCTGACAACCGTGGTTGCAGTCAACCTCTTTCACTTTGTCAATGCTCGTTTACAAGGGCAGCTCTAACATTAGTGGTCAGGTATTAAAGAAAATGCATTGGAAGAGTCTGTAGAATTGCAGCTTATTTCACTCCTTGCTTCATGTTATTTAGCAGAGAACTTAATGCAACAGAAATCAGATTTGCTGTGCATTTTACACAAAATCCAATTGTCTAGGCGCCATACCAGACATAACCCAAACCTTAGGAAGATAGAATCTAATAGGCCATGTTCAAGCCTCATGTGGAAGCCATATATTTGGGATGCCTGATCCTTTAAAAATATTATTAAAAATATTCTCTTATTCCATGTGCTCTGTGGAAGAGATAGTCAAGTATCCACATAGCCACAGCAGCAGTGCCTAGCAAGTTAGTAATGAAAAGTTAGGCAATTCCTGCTGGTATTTGGGTGAACATCCTTCGTAAACCAAAATAATCTCTGCAATGGATTACAGTACGGTATGTGCATAGTCAGGGGAGTGATCTCTGAGGGCCTGCCTCTTTTTTTCCCTGGTCCCCTGGCATGGGGAGTCCAGGAACTGGGGGCTGGAAGGGACTGCAAGGATCATCTAGTCCAGCTGTAATCCTATAGGACCCAGCTGTGTGCAGCTACTCCAATGTGAGGCTGTTTTCACAGCTACTCTTCCAAATCCTGCTGGAAAACACCAAATTGGTGGCAGTGGGGAAGAAGACTTCCACTCACCTTAAGAGGTGCTGCTGCATTGGCTACTCTTTTGTAAGCAACAAAGTGGGAAACTGAACTCCACTGAGTAGAAGCAACACATGGAGGGATATTTCTCTTTTAATGTTTTAATGTTCACATTCATTTTAATCTACTCAAGATTTGGAAGGGTGGGCTTGCTATTGAAAGACTATAAGGTCTTGTGATTCTTCCCAGGTACCATGGGCATGATCAAGTGTGAGAGCTGCATAACCACACCAAATGTTGAAGATAGGGAAGGTTCTGCAGAGGAACCGGGGAATCCAGGTGAGGTCCTGATCAGTGGAGCCATCATGCCAGCAGGTACATACAGCTGGTTTCAGCAGCCTTTGTGTCAGATTTTGCTTGGACATCAGGAAAAATGTTATGATTGTAAGAACCATTCAAGCATGGAGCTGACTTCCTTAGAAAGTGGTAGACACTATTGGCTGGAGGTATTTAAATAGAGGCTGGGTGGCCATTGGTCAGAAAATTGTCAGAGAGCAGGTTTGTACCTTTCAAATTAGATTATCAAAAACATAATTCATATTATTACTCAACAGATGCAAAGAAGCCACTTCCTTGGGTGTCCAAACTGTGTTCCTGCAAAGTGTGTTAGAAGAGTGGTTGAATTTCCCCATGAGAACAGAGAATTGTTGCAGACATAGAAGTGTCTTCCCTTCTTGGCTGATGCTGGCTTGGGAAGCCCTCCTGTTTTCTTCTCAGCTTACTCCTACATCTCTTCCTTCAGTTAGTTAAATATACTCTGACTGCCATTGCAAGAACTCTGGAACATCAAGATTAGATTGACCCCAATCCTGGTGACCTATTGCAAATCGCTGAAGAACTGGGTATGCTTCAGGCCTTGGGGCAGGAGGTATTTGTCAGTTGTTGGTTTATCCTCATCAATCACTGTAGGTTTTTATTGTTGATTTTTTTTAAGAGTTAAGACAATTTACAAAATGAACATGCCAAAAGCCCATTTTATTTAAGAATGGGATTGCAAGCCTGGTATGTAAGAAGTCAGGGTAGGTCCTTGGGGTGCTTCATTCTCAGTTGTCTGTTTTCACAGCCTAATTTCTCAAGTACTTAGAATTTGCTTCCATGCTGTAGATGGGGAAAATATCCTTTTAACAACCATGTAAACTTAAAATTTTAATTTATAGTTAACATTTGATGGTCTTTAATCACTTTGCAAGTGATTAAAAGGAGCATAAAGAATAAATACTGCAGGCCACTTTAGCTGACTGTGTTCAGCAGGTCAGCGGTTCAAATCTCACCGGCTCAAGGTTGACTCAGCCTTCCATCCTTCCGAGGTAGGTAAAATGAGGACCCAGATGGTTGGGGGCAATGTAAATATATATATATATACATTGCTTACTGGTGTACACCACTTAGAGAGTGCTTGCACTTAAAGCGGTATTTAAGTCTCATAAATAAATAAATAAATAAAGCCTGTAAAGGGCCTCATGCATTCTTAATGGCAGCTGGTTAATCCAAAGTCTAGGTAGTGGATTTGAATGCTTGGACACTAACCTCCTTGGCAATTTCCCCTTAGGGTAAATTATAATTCATTATTCTGTAATTAAATTAAACATCTGTGACTAACACTATCCCAATTTGTCTGCAGGCCATTTTGTCTTCTGTAAGGCAGGCATTGGTGGTGAAACTGGCCAGGCATGAAGTAGTTTTTATTTCTGGCCTTTCACCAAGAGGAAAAAAATAAAGAAATAATAGATTCATGGAGGCTTAACACATTTCATCTTGTTCTGCTTGCATGCTTGTTCATTTATAAAATATATAGGCCTCCCATCTTACCTCAAGATAACTCTAGGTGGTTTACAATCATAAATCATGTTCCCAAAGGATATGAGAGAAAAGACCAGGAGACAGGAGCCTGCTGGTTAATGGAAGTACAAGAACTGATATATTGCAAGAGAGATTTGGTGATGTTTGGTGGCTTCCACATCAGGATAATATTGCTAGTGGAGGGAGTCCTTCTTTCTGGAGAGCCAGATGGCTCCACTCCCATGAGTAAATACACGGATGCTCATTTGGCAGCCTCAGGGAGGAATAAAAATTTCCACTCCCATGAGTAAATACATGGATGCTCATTTGGCAGCCTCAGGGAGAAATAATTTTTTTTTGCAAAGCAACTAGCTTAGCTGCTTTTCTCTCAGACTGTGGATGTTTCCAAAGGTGTACCCATTTGGCTTCCTGGGCTTTTTAATTTCATTTTCAGTTGTCACTCTGTTCCCAGCAGCTTTGCAGCACTCTAGAGCAGGGGTGTTAAACTGCCAGCCCCCAGGCCGGATGCGTCATACCGAAACCACGCCTGCCCCATTGCTGGCAATGGAAAAAAAGTTGTGACATGTCTGTCACGTGACGTTGCAAGTTTGACATCCCTACTCTAGAGGAATCTGACCATACTTAGCACACTGATGCAAACAACAATCCCACCTGCTCCAGTCAGAGAGAAGCTCCTGATCACCAATGTCTTTCCCTCAGAAGATCTTCTGGAAGCCAACCAATCTGTCCTCAGAAGGGAGGCTGTCTTGCCTGACTAGAGGAGCCCCCCAGGGATGGAAGGCAGAAGAGAAGGCAGGCAAACAGGGGCCCTTCTCCTCTCCCCATCCTTTAGCTGAAATGGATCACAGCTCTGTCCTATGATGGGGCTTTCTCTGGCATTCCAGGTTGTTCAGGGTTGGCAGTGAGTTGATAGGATGACTGTCACAAATCATTTTTGACATATATTCAGGTAAATATAAAAGAGCACCTATAAAAGAAAAGTGACTTTTGGGATGAAAGAAAATACCAGGAAAGATTATGTGGATTCACAATCCCTTTGGCAATTTTTCCTCTGTGAACTGATTAATGTCCATCTTGGTCACCAGATCCCTACATGGGTAGAAAATGTTATAAAAGGTGAGAGCAGCAGATAGGAACCAGGGGTGATACGGATTATGGCCACTTTCTTTCTGGACATTTTTATTGCCAAGTTAGCCCTTCAAAGCCTTGTACTTCTCCAAAATATTTTTGTTTGTTAAATTGAGCCAATCACTTACTAAAGTTAAAATGGCCGCATCATAATATAATTTCAGATTAGGTGCTTTAAGTCCACCCCTTTCTCTAGCATCTTGTAAAATCTTAAACTTAACCCTTGGTTTCTTGCCACCACATATAAATTTATTGATACCCTTCTGCCACTCTTCCAAATTTGCATCCTTTTTCAGTAACATCTGAAATAAAAAAAGAAACTTTGGTAGAACATTCATCTTTACTACTGAAATTCTCCCCAACAAAGATAATTGTAGTTTTTGCCAGTCATTTAGGTCTTTTTGTACCTTTATCCACAATTGTTCATAATTATTATACAATTTCCCATTAGATGTTGTGATATATACTCCTAAATACTTAACCTTATTAACTACATCATAATCTGTTGCTTCAGCTATAGTATCTTTTCCCTTCATAGACACATTTTTAAGTAAAATTTTAGTTTTATTCTTATTCACCTTGAAACCAGAGACCTGTCCATACTGCGCTAAAATTTCAACCAATTCATTAACCGAATCTATTGGATAAGATAATGTCACCACCAAATCATCAGCAAAAGCTTTCAACCTATAATCAATCTTATTTATTTTTATTCCTTTTAATCTAGAGGATTCTCGAATTTTAATAAGTAAGATTTCCATAGTTAATACAAATAACAAAGGGGATAAAGGACAACCTTGCCTAGTACCTTTTTATATTTTAAATTGCTCTGTTAATCCCCCATTAATTATAATTTGTGCTGATTGTTGCTGAAATACAGCTTTAAGAGCACACAAAAATTTATCTCCAAAATTCATTTCCTCTACCTCTTTCAATAAAAAATTTCCAATCTAATTGATCAAAAGCTTTCTCCGCATCTATAAATATTAAGGCAGCAGAAATTTGATTATTCTTATCCAAATATTCTATTATATTAACCAATTGTCTTACATTATTTTTCATGTATCTTCCCGTTATAAATCCCGTTTGATCAGTATGAATCAGTTGTTTCAAAACCTGCATTAATCTATTTGCCAAAATCTTTGCAAAAATCTTATAGTCCGTATTTAACAAAGATATAGGCCTATAATTTCTAGGCTGGGACAAGTCCTGATCATCCTTTGGAATCAATGATATGAAGGCCCTTTTCCAGGATGGAGGTAACTCTGCTCCCAGCAAAATGTCATTAAAAAGTTCCTTCAATGGTTCTATCATTTCTTCCAATAGCATCTTGTAATAAATTGCAGTTAATCCATCAGTACCTGGCGTCTTACCAACCTTTAATTGTTTAATTGCAGAGGTAATCTCTTCAGCAGTAATTGCAGCATTAATTCCATCACGCTGATCAGTCGTAAGTCTGGGAAAATTGGCTTGTTGTAAATAATTTTCTACATCTGAGATTTGTATAGCTTCACTAGTATATAACTTAGAATAAAAATCTAAAAAAGCCTTTTTAATCAAATTTTGTTGATACACCACTTTGCCTTTATAACATATTTTGTTTATAATCCTTGATTTCTGCTTCTTACGTAATTGATAAGCCAACCATCTACCAGGTTTATTTGCATTACAAAATGTATTATACTTCATGTACCTCAAATTAATTGCCATCTGATTCGCTATTAACATATTAAATTGTTCCTTAAGCAGAGTTATAGAAGCTTTCAAATTGTTATCCATTGGATTTGATAATAAAATCTTTTCCTTACATTTAATCTCATCTTCCAACTCTTTACGCTTCTCAGTTTGTTTACGTCTATGAGCATTATTCATAGAGATCAAAATCCCTCGCATGTATGCTTTACTGGAATCCCAAACCATTGGCATCGAGGTGCCCTTATTCATATTCCAAGAGAAAAATTCTTTTAAATAACCTCTACATTTCTGTATATTCTCTTCATATCTAAATAAATTCTCATTTAACCTCCAGAAGTCTAGCCTGGTTACACACTTTAAAAGAACCCTTCTTATCTTTGCTTGGATCCAAAACACCATTCCAATCTCCCATCATAATAACCGATTTATAATCCAAAGAAATTAGTTTCTGATGAATCATCTTGTAAAAATGTTTTTGTTGTTGATTGGGAGCATATAACCCAACAAGAAGAATTCTATTATCATTTATTAAAAGATCAATAATAACATATCTGCCTTGTAAATTCAAGTCAATTAATTTTGGTGAAAGCTCTTTTCTTACATATATAACTACACCTCCTTTTTTCTGCAATGCAGGAGCTATAAAATGTACCCCAAGCTGAGGGTTAAACATGTATTTTTGATCTTTGGAAATAATATGAGTCTCTTGCAAACAAATAATATCATTTTTATGTTGTTTCAAATAGTAAAAAACTTTCTTTCTTTTCTGTGGAGTGTTTAGCCCGTTAACATTCCAGGTTAGAAGCTTTGCCATTCTTGGCAGGTTGAAGCCTTTGGAACAAAACCTCTAGACTTGCAGTCGATGACTTCTTTAGCCTTGCTCCTCCCACTGGCTCCGAAGTAAAGTGTATTCCATCATCAAGCTTTTGTTGCTGTTGCTGTTGTTATTCTCTTTCTCTACGTTTATAGGCAGCACGTGTAATTCTCTGTTGTTTTGGGTCATCAATTAATTGAATAGATTCAACCAATAACTCTTCTCCTGGGCGTCGCTTTAAGGCTACATCAGATTGTGTTTCTGCCTTGCTCTCATCTTTTTTTGATCTTGGAGATGGTGGTGACTCTGCTTTTAACACAGTCATATAAAAATCTTTTGCTTTAGAAATTGTATTAAGACGATAACGTAAGCCAAGATAAGTCACCACTATCCCCACAGGAATATCCCATCTGAATTGAATTTGTTGTTTCTTAAGTTCATCCGCCAAAAAAGCAAAATCTCTCCTTCTCCTAAGGATTTTTGAAGGTATTTCTTTTAAGATTATCACATCTTGAGTTGCAATCTGAAATCTGTGCTTATAAAAAGCCTGAATAATTTCATTCCGCAATGATCTTCTAGCAAAATAAACCACCACATAATTCATGGGTTGCTTCCTCTGTTTTGCGACCCATGAATTAACTCTAAAAATCTTTTCTATATCTCTCAACATTGCTTCAGGGTCGCATTCCAAAATAGAAGCCAATTTAATTGCAATTTCTTCCTTCAAGTTCTCCTGAAGATTCTCCTTCAAGCCTCTTGTTCTCAAAGCGAATTCCATTTCTCCATATTGTGACATTAAAATCTCATCCTGAACATTGTCTGCATTATCTTCTATCTTATCAACTCTATCTTGTA